GACGTGTCTGATGATGGGAGGACTACAACGGGAAAGTTATCTCTACGAAGCATGACAAGGGTAGGCGGGCGTTCATGATATCATGATTTTGATGTTGTACAGTCGGATAGATTATGAAATGTCTCATCCCGGACCAGACTGTCTATCTGAAAGTACACTCCGTAAGCAATGACGAAATACCCAGATTTAAGTCTTGTACTCCGTTTAAATAGCCAACAGCTGCCGTAAGAGACGAAAAGAAAGACATTACTCACTCAGCCTTGGTGATGATCCCTCGAACAAGTCCCGCAGGAACTGTGAAAGTGAATTGAATCGACTTTACGGAGTAATCGAACTGAATAGCTCTGGCTGAGGCTAAATTAACTACTTCCAAGTTAGTTAATCTATAGTGGACTGTGGGGGATGTCTGTACCTCGGTTCACGGGATTCGACCCAAAACGACAAACCGATAGAGCTGATGATCAACACTCTCTTTTAGCATAGGGAGGCTATTTCGTTGTGTTCTATATGTCGTCAATGCCCAATTTAAATTTCCTGTATTTCTCTTAGACTGGATTTAGATCGCTTTTTTTTGTCTGTATCTGCATCGGGACTGTATACAGTACATACGTCCACATACTCGTTCTCATTCACGTGCAAGATATTCCTTCGCTGCTGATCGATAGATATATATTTATTATTATAGATTATTATTAGATTTGGCACTGCAGATTCTGCGACTGCAACTGCAACTGCAACTGCGACACGCATCAAATCCGGAGGGTTTGTTGACTGTCTTATCTGGGAAATCTCGACCTACTCTGCTTCCATCTCGAACTACTACTATCGCTGCTTCACTTCAACATCAACCTCGACATCGCCCGTCATTATTTTTGGAAACCCTATTCTTAAACTTCTTTGTCGTCAGACGACTATTTCTATAACGATCAATGGTTTCAAAGCCTCCAGCAGCGGCAGAAAACCAGAATCCTCTTGCGCCATTCGTGCGCCTTTCGCGGAGCATCTATCTCCGCGAACCAGTCCAACAACACCCAGTCTCAGCCACAACGACAACGACAGCAACATCAACTAACGATGATGATGATGATAATCTCCCCTCAACAATCGTCATCGCATTCTGGTTCAGCGCCGCACCCCGCGTCCTGGTCAAGTACGTCGCTGCATACGCGCGTCTGGCTCCCTCGGCGCGCATCATCTTCCTCCTGAGCACGGCGTCCGATTTCTGGCTGTACCCCACGCAATGGGCTCATCGTCGTCGACTGATGCCCGCCGTCGAGGCCATTCGCGCGTCGATTGCCGCGACGACGACGACAGGAGGCAAGACGAAACCCGTGTTCATGCACATCTTCTCCAATGGCGGCGTGTTCACGGCCGCGCATCTCCTCCTCGCCTACAGACATGTGACGGGCACTGCGATGCCGATCTCGTCGATGATCCTCGACAGTGCGCCCGGTCGCTCGTCCGTGGCGAGATCCGCTAAAGCGCTCTCCTATGCGCTCCCTCGGACACGCATCCTGCGCCCCATCGGCATGGGCATCATCTACTTCGTGCTGGTCGTCAGCTGGCTCTGGCGCAAGATAACCCGGGCCAAGGACCCGCTTGCCTTTACAAGGGCTGCGCTCATCGACGATCGACTCGTCTCTTCGACGCCTGATGGCAAGAAGAAAGGGACGAAGAGGTGCTATATCTACTCCGACACTGACGACCTGATCCTCGCCGCCGAGGTGGAACAGCATGCCGCCGAGGCTGCAGCCAAAGGATGGCCCGTCGAGCGGGAGAAGTTTCTAGGATCGCCGCACGTTGGACATATGAGGGCAGATCCGGAACGGTATTGGGCGATCGTTGGAAGGTATTTGAGAGGGGAGAACTAACAAAAGTCGCTCCTGCTGCTGCTGCTGCTGCTGCTGCTAGTCAATAGTTTCAGCAGTATGTCAAATATTATTGTTATCCTCAATCTGAACTGCTTCTACCCTATAATAATTCGCCTTTTTGTGTTTTAAAAACGATAAAAAAAAGACTCTAACTGCAGATACAGTCACAGACAGCATTCTTCTTCCTTCTCAACTGACGTATCTGCATCAGATAGACACAGTCCTCGAGCGGAAGGCCACATCTTGATAATGATTGAAAGCCTCGCGTTCCTCCCTCGCCTTTTTCATGAACTCCATCGCCTCTTGCACAGTCCAGGGAAAATTTTCGTCTCGCTTCAGCCTGTGCACCTGCTCGTCTACGGAAAGGTCGGCCAATAGCTCCTGCAAGCCTTCCGACTCATCCTTCCAGTCGAGCCGCTGGGGTGGCACGTTGGACGTCGAGATGATTCGGATGTTGGGGTCGACCAGCATGAGATTCACCGCCTTGCAGTGTCCAGGCTTGCTGCGATCCTTGAGTCGAACGGTCACTCGGTGCTGCAGGATATTCGGCCAAGTGACCGCCCGGCCCTCCCTGCAGGTGATGCCTCCGATCTCCTGGACTGCAGGTTCGTTGTTTTTGAGTCCAAAGACCTGCTCCAGCCAGAGGGAGTCGCCCTTGTCGTAGATGACATCCTGCAGCGGTTCGACATCGGACGCCTGGCGGAATTCGACGAGAGGATCCTCAACGTTCTCGTTGTCAAAAAAGTAGAGCGATGATGCACAGATATGCTCATTCTACGGACAGATCAGTACGCTTTACCTCTTTACCTGCCGGAATCGGGGAAGGGGGGGGTTTTGGTTGCGGGGGGCGTACCATTTGGCCCTCAACATGCCATTTAGTGACCATCTCTGGGTGGGCAGGACTCAGCCGGGCATTGTGGATTCTCAGAATCACCTGCAGACCCCGATCGCCGTAATCATGTCGGAGATCCATCTGCGCCTCAATGCGGTGCTTGTTCCTTTCTTCCGGTGGAAGCCCTTCCGCAAGTTGGACCGGCATAGCGATAGGCGCAAATCTCCCCGGCTCGGGCTGGATGACTTTGTAAAAGCCCCCTCTCCAGTCGTAAATCCGGTCATCGAGTTCGTGCTGGGTCTCGCGCACCAATTTCTGCGGATATTCTGGCCCGGTGCCCTGCTCACGCTTCTCATATTCGGCTCGGCGGTACTCGATCCGGGATCGTGAGTGCAGCATGTCTTTCAACGGAGTCAGAGTCATGTTCCACATCGGGATGATTTTTTCGAGCACCCGTTCGATGACATGGTACACATCCCGGTTTTTGGTCGGGTGGACGTTGTTGATATAACTGGCGATATAGCAACCACCATCTTCGCGGAAGCGCACGTCAAAGGGAAGCCACTGAATATTCGAGCTGTACGGTTTCACATAAATATCTGCCTGTTGAGCAACCCGCGAACTCAGTGTAGTTGCCGGATCCTTTGGGACGGGGATGATATCGCCTTGCCCGATGGCAGCAATGGCATCATCGATTCCGATGGTTCGATCCCGAAGAATACGGCTTCGCCCGTAGACCAGAGGGAAGAACGAAGGATGGACGTAATCCCGCTCCCCTTCGTCGGATCCGAGGTTATACCCCAGCGCATATTCCTCCATCTTCTCCAGAGGTTTTACGGCCTGTTTGGTGTCCTTGGCCAGGTCGCGGAGGACGACCGAGTCCGACTTGACCACGTCTCCATTATGGATGTTGATGGCGTCGGTGTATCTGGCAATTTGTGCCTTGAACCTAAGTTCTTCGACGAGCCAGTCGAGCATTGGCTCGCTCACGTCGTCTTCTTTAGCCCGTACTCTTTTCTTCCAGTTCTCTACAAACGCATCGTCGAATACCTACAGACGTCAGTTTTCATCTCTGAAATATCACCATGTTGAAATCATGGTTCTGCGAGGTTTCTTCTTTTTTTCGAACTTACCTTTGACATCCACCCCTCTACATCTGTAAGGTCGTTCATGAGACGCATCATCGTTACCTCACGGAGCGTGGTAAGAGGCTGACTATGAATATGACCATATTTGAGCTTGCTTCACTGACAATCAAGCAACCCAAAGCGACAGACAAGCCATCAAAAAAGCGGAAACAGAGACAAAAAAACAAAAACAAAAACAAAAACGCAGAGAGCGAAAAGAAAATTGCACCATACTTGATATACCCCCGATCAATATCACGATCGTCCAACGCAGAAGGGAACAACGACCGATGATTGATCCCGTAGAGATCCTTGGTCATCGGGCTGAAATTCAGCGGCAATCCGAACCCGGGGAGCATGAACCGGTCCTCAGACGGCGCAGGAGGGAGGACCGGTTCGGATCGAGGGACTGCTTGGAACATTGCGCTGGCGGTAGTCACTTCACTACCGTTGAGAAGGTTGTTAGCAGCAGTCAGCAGTCAGTCGTTGCCAACGAGGATGAAATGGAAACGAAGAAACAGACCAGAATATCTGACTGAGAAGACAATAATACAAAGAAAAAAAAAGGAAGAAGAAGAAGAAGAAGACTACCTACCTAGGTAGATCTTTATCAATCTATCTACTACCGATCGATCAATACAAGAAACAAAAAACACGACGAAATAATCGCCACAGAAATGTTATGTTATTTTATTCCCCTCTCATTTCTTTCTTTCTTCTTTCTTACAGAACATAACTTAAGGTGGCCGGTTGCATCTAAATGTCCAGTATAACAAACTTTCCCACCACCGGATCCAGTCGGCAACCTTGCTTCCTTCTTTGCATTTCGCTGCTTTTCTCCTAACCCTACCTTTCCTACATCTTAGCTAACTAACCTAATGTACTACGCCAGCCAGCCAGCCAGTCCAAGCGGTGGTGGAAGAGTAGACATCTGCTTTTTTTTCTCCTTCCCGACGTCAATCTGACAGAATGATGAATGACTTACGGAGTACTTTCTTGGTGCGAACCGGAAAGTAGTTGCGCGACTAATCATCAATCAATCAGTCAATCAATCAATAATGGTTCCAAAGTTTATTGGTTAGATGGATTAAATTAAATAAGAGAGAATACAATAGAATGGATTAGAATAGAACAGAATGTAATAAGATAGAATAGTGGGAGAAGAAGAAGAAACATAAAATGTGATCGATTCTTGTAATGCCATCCAGATTATCTATTCCGGTTTGGATATGATATGTAAGCAGAAAATATTATTATATTATTAGCGCATGACAGGTACTAGAAGTATCTACAGTACAGATGATCATGCGAAAGTTTAACTAGAATCTGCCAGTTTGCCACTTCGTAAAATATCCTTTGGAGAATTGAAAAACGCAAGAGACATGCAATCTAGCTCGTAATGCTATGCTATGCATCATCACGCTATGCTATGTACAATGCCATAATAATACACGTAAACCTATCCATGTATGTATGTACACATCAAGGTATCATTACTTCCCTCTCGACTCCGGAAACTCGTCCTCCAGCTTCAACCGCGCAGTAACGTTCATGCTGAACAGCTCCTGGATCAGCAGCTTGGCCGCATATGGTATCGTCATCTTCACCACTCCCCGCGACGACTTGCATCGCTGGCACCAATTCAGATACCCCATAAACCCGCAGTTCTCGCAGATGTCGACCTCATGCTTGTCTGACGACAGCATCAGCCGCTCGAGGAGAAGCTGGCTGGTCCCGTACGCAATCAGACAGTCACGCTCCATCTCACCCAGACGCAGACCTCCGTCGCGCGAGCGACCCTCGGTCGGTTGGCGCGTAAGAATAGCGCGAGGTCCGCGGGCACGGGAGTGCATCTTATCTTGGACCATGTGCTTCAGTTTCTGGTAATAGATGGGCCCTGTGAACACATAGAAAGGCAAAGGTTCGCCGGTGATGCCAGACGTGAGGTAATCCTTGCCACCGTAGCTGAACCCTTTGTCCACCAGGATGGCCGACATCTCCTCCACGGGACTACCGCCAAACGCCGTTCCATAGCCGAAATTACCCGACAACACCCCAGCCTTGCCGGTGACAAGCTCAAGCAGCTTTCCGACCGTCATTCGGGATGGGAACCCGTGAGGATTCATGATAATGTCAGGGACAATTCCCTCGTCGGTAAATGGCATATCAGCCTGCTCTGCGATAATGCCCACCACACCCTTCTGTCCGTGGCGAGAGGAGAACTTGTCACCCACTTCAGGCCGACGAGTCTGACGAGTCTGCACCTTGATGATCTGGCTCTCGCCTTCGGTAGTGGAAATCATCACCTTGTCAATATAGCTAGGATCCGCCAGTTTGTAGGTTTGCGGTGTTGGTGTATATGAGACTTGTCTACCGGCATCCGAACCCGTAATCCCAGCCGACATAGCCTGCTCCGGAGTAAGCTTGTTGATGTAGATCTCTCCGGCGCTGACTTTCTCGCCGACAGCGGCCAGCCCATCGCTCTCGAGAAGCTGGTGCTTTCTGATCGGCACCCCATTCTCGTACTCCGGTCCCACAAGCTTGTCCTTTGTGCCGTTCGAATAACTCTTCAGGTTTGTGACGTACTTGCGGAACACCTGGCAGCGTCCAAAGCCTCGATCGACAGACCCCTTGTTCAACACCAGGGCATCCTCGATATCATAACCGGAGTAACTCATGACCGCAACCGTCGCATTCTGCCCTGCCGGAAGCTGGTCATACTTGACCAGCTCGATGGTTCGTGTCTTGACCATAGGCTTCTGCGGATAGACCATGAGGTAGAGCAGAGAATCAATGCGAAGGAATTGGTTTGAAGCGATGGCACCAATAGCCTGTTTACCCATTGCACACTGATACGTGTTCCGGGGTGACTGGTTGTGATGAGGATAAGGAATGAGACCCGCGACAGCTCCGAGAATAGTGAACGGCTCGATTTCAAGATGTGTGGTGGTGTCGTTGATATCTTTCTCGTACATGGCGATGTTGGAGTCATTCTCTTCGTTCACATCGAGATACTCCACTAGGCCTTGAGCGAGAAAGTCATCAAACTGCATGGAACCATCCCGGAGCTTTTCGAGGTGGTGCGCCTCGACCCGTGGCCGGCCGTTCTCGACGACAATGAGAGGGCGGCAAATTCGGCCATCATCGGTTGCAATATGGACTGCGCACTGATAATGATTGATGTAAATACTGACAAACTCGGATATCCGTCCCATGCGCCGGAGCCTGCGGAAAGAATTGAGGAAATGCTTCGGCCGTCTCGTAAGCGCTATGGGCGTTCCATTTATCGATATGATGTAGGCTCCAGGACCGTATAGTTCCCTGCCGCTCACGGTTTGAATGTCCTCCGCGCCCAGCATGAAAACCAACTTCTGCACCGGGCCTTCTTCGTCATTTGTCGTGATGTGTGTCATCAGCGCCAAGTTCTTCACCAGGCCACAGGCTTCACCCTCGGGGGTATCAGAAGGGCAGAGCATGCCGAACTGCGAGGGTTGTAGTGCTCTCGGTCCGCTGACCTTTCTGGTCTTCTCAAACTGACTGGATATCCGTGTCATCATTCCTAGCGCCGCGATGTAACTTAGTCTGCTCAAGACATGAGTAACACCGGCGCGCTCCATACGGAAACGCTTCAAACTCCAGTTGCCAGTCGAAATAGCACGGTTCATCCCCTGCGTTATGTGATTCCCATGCATACTTATGACACTCCACGCGTCGAACGCCTCTGCCCGTTGGCGTCTCGCCAACACCTTGTCGACATTCATCTTGATATCGAAACAGAATTTCTTGAACAAATCTTCAAACAGAAGAGCAAGGAGCTGGCCAGCCAGCTCAAGTCTCTTGTTTCCGACATAGTCGCGGTCATCCACCATGCCAGGATCATGTTTCGCCATCAGCACGCGACGTGCCATATGAGCAACATAGACAGCCTTGAGCCTGAAGTTCATGTCTGTCACCTCCACGTGGGAGATGATCACGGATGAGATGGCCTCGATAGCCTCCTGGACGTGAGTGCGTTTATAAGAGGTTTGCTTGCTGCGATTGATTTTGATTCGAGATCCGATCCAGTCAAGCGCCTGGTGTTGGGTGTAGATGTTGAGCTTGATCGCCTCTTCAAAGTTGACGGCAAAATCTTCCTGATAGACCTTGTCCACTCCGGCAACGAGAAGCAACATTTCTTTGTCGGAATGAACACCCATCGCCCTCAGCAGGATAACCAGCGGAATGTCCTCACTGAGCACATTGTGCCTCAAGTACAGCTTGTCCTTCTTAAGAATGATATAGCTCTTCGACTTGCGTTCGTTCGATGAACTAGTAACGGAAGCCTGCACGATTTCTTTCTTGGGATCGGTTTCCACGATGACACGGTTCTTGCTCAGCTGTTCCTGGACCAGAATGACTTTCTCCGTCCCATTCACGATAAAATAACCGCCCGGATCCAGCGGACATTCGTTCAGCAGATGCATTTCCGCGGGGGTCTTGTTTGCCAGCACGCATTTGGAGCTGCGCAGCATTACCGGCATGCGACCGATGGCCACTCCTCTTCTGATGACTCGCTGACGAGCACGGACATATTCAAAATCCACGTAGATCGGAGCGGCATAGGTCAGGTCACGAAGTCGGCATTCGTTTGGCGTCACAGTGGCCTCAGAACCGTATCCTACATCTTGCTCGTCGGGACGAAGTGGAGAGCCCAGGTAAATGTCAGTAAACCTATTGCAGTGAAGTGTGAGTCAACGTCTAGAACCAATGGGGCTATGCAAACCACAAAGGGCAAAGGCAGACGTACTTGATGTAAAAGTTGTGATCAACCTCGCTGCGGATAGTCGAGCTTGCTTGGACGATCTTCTTCATCTGAACCTCCACGAAGTAGTTGTAAGAATCGATATGCTGCTTCACAAGTCCCTTGACCTTCAAGAACGCTGGAAGTAGATTCCATTTGTCACGGGCCGTGTTGATGGGATCCGTAAGCGACTTGTTGTAGTAGAACGGCTCCAGGATCGCATCGAAGGGGTCGACTTTTTTGGGTTTGCGGGGCTGCGACTGGTCATCTCTCTGGTCGCGTTGATGATCTCCATTTTCGGTAGCTTGCGCTGGATTCACCGGTTGCTTGGGCTGGGCGAAGCGCTTTCGTTTCTGAGCGGCATCCAGGCCCTGAGACTTTGCAGACTGAGAAACCTGCTTTTGAGCTGTCAGAACAGATCCTCTACTGCACATCAAGAAACAAGAAAATCCGCGCGAGAGCTACTTACCTCTGGGAGATTGGGCGCCGATGCAGCGGGGTCGACCGCGGGCTGCGGCCTTTTGCGTGGAGGCATTGTCTCCTGCAGACCGCACTCTTCAGTCACCCGGAAGAAGGGTCTGCGATGTCCCGAGTTGGGTGTGTCCCGAGTTGGGTGTCTGGCGAGCTGTGGCGATGGCAGGAATACAAGCGAGTCTTCAACATGTGGTGGACGACTTTTTTGAGCGGAGGGGAAAGCGGCGGGACAGCTTAGGTAAGCACGATCGCCGGAGCTCGGCTCAGCCTAAACCCAATATGGAAAACCCTACCCTGGTTCGGCCGGGGCTCGGCCTGCCTTTGCTGACCGACATTCACGGAGCCTCCAGGCCAGAGCCCTTTCGTTCACTGACTCGATCCATTGTCCGTGTCCAAATACTTCGTCGGCATGCCGCTGTCGATTACGGTTGTCCTGGTTGAGGCCACGAAGGAATGTACGCTGTATATTACGTATACGTCTGTGTCCATGGTGTGTCCTTCCAGAAAAGAGTCGATATCTACCAAGCTCATGCTCTTGCTCTTAATTCCGTTATTAGTGCCTAGCTTTCCTCCGGGCGGGTAAAATGCCTCTGTGGCTCTCGCTTGTCGTTTAGCTTGGCGAGCATGCGATCTCGCACAATCCATATAGTGCGATCGCAGGATCAATATGGCCTTTTTAAGGCAAAGCGATCCGTAGCTTCCCCTTCAAGTCCGGATGGCCACTCGCATGCAATGAATGACTTTCTGGGTTGCAGATTGCTGGACGCCTGACTCTATGAATAACAGCTCAGAAGCGAGACGTTGAATATCTGATCCTGCCGAAGAAGATTGATTGAGAAGTCCAAAAACGTGGAATGTTTTCAGGATATGAGGATATCCATCGAGATGCTCTTCAATGGTCAAAGGACTGTACGAAACTAAGTTCTCTCAATGGGCATTGAGCTTCTCGAGACATCGAAGTCAATAGGAACACGGTCTAGAACGACTGCTAAACCTGCACGAAGCGAAATTCGTCTTTTTTGTCCATACCGTCCTTTCTCCACTACTGCTCTCTACTCCACATTCTGAAGACGCAGGACATGCAATCCGTGCCCTGAATGCGCCCTGGTGTTAGTTGAATTGGGCAGCAATGAGCAGCACTGCCAGGTACAGACTATGTACCTCATACCCCTGTAGCCGGTAGAATTCCACAGATGTCCCGGGGAAAAGGTACCCTGTACTTTGTAAAAGTGTACAGTTCATCAACCTCGTGTCCCCATATGACAGGGTAACCGTATAAGAAGAGTGGGGACCGGCTGGCTGACTTGACTACCGAGTGCCAGTTGTATGGTAAGGGTCAAACTAACGGTTAGTCGGGTCAGCCATGCAGGTTGCAACTCCTTGCAACTATGGGGACAGTGGCAAGCATTCCCTCAAGGAAAATACAGACGAAGGGACTTCCTTTTAGTGTTCGCCTAAGGACGCCACAACTTCTTTGACAACTGGACAAGGGCGCAGATGCGGCCTTCAGTGATGACGATGGAGGATCCGGCTTCATATCATCATAGATCGGACAACGGTGGGTCTCAGACTGCAAGTACGGGGCACCACAATGGAGATAAGGTTCCAGTTTTAGAACAGGTCTCTTCTGATGCAGTTCGTGAGAGGCTTCTGGCTCAACGGGTGTATTGCCAGAACACGCCTTATCTCCGATTGAAAGTCGGGTCAAATTGATATACTTGTGGATTTCTTGGAACCAGCAAATCCTGTTCCTGGAGCATGCAAGTCAAGTCCATTTTTGGCCATAGGGCAGTCTCGGGACAGTATCCCTACTCTTAGGAAGAAACACCTCCCAAAGCAGAGACAGGCAGATGGCTTGCATTCGGGCAGCCGGCCATGAAACTTTCCTCTCTGCCAGAACCTGATTTTTGGTTTGGATGCAAAGCAGCACAGCTGTCAATCATGCCCCGCATCGACACTTGTTTGACGCGGTCATGGATATGCTGGCATTGCTTGCAGGTCGTCGGCAGATACGTCTCCGCCTCACTTATCTGGATGCTCCCGTTGAGCGATGAGATTCGAAGTTCGAGAACGATTCGCCAAATGCCATAGTGGTCAAAGCATTGCACAAGTCATTATCCTGAAGGCCCATGCTGGATCTCACGCCTTACTTTTCGTGGACTTTGCAATCGCTCTTATCGGCATTGACCAAGTCAGGGTCGATATTCCCAGCCAACAGCGCGCCAATTGAATTGTCTCTTTGAAGACACCTTCTCCATCCGGTGCTATCCCATGGCTGGCAATTTTTTGTCAAGCTAGAAATTCGAAATCACCGCTTTGTGAGAGAGAGTTAAGCGAAAAACCTTTGATGCTCCTGGCGGCTCGTGGGTTTGCCATCGAATGGCGGCATCCGCCATCATCGAGCCGGCAAATAACGGATCGGGGCCCAGACGGCCTCGAGAAATAAGCGTGCGGCACTAATCACAATCACAGCACGACAGGGAGCGCGGGGAGCAGGGTTGACGATTCGCATATTGTGCTGTCGGCAGCTGCAGTAGCGCTGCAGAAGCTGGGTCCACCGGAGGCACCGCGATCATTGGCCCAGATACAGATGGCCTCGAGCATGAAACGTGCTCGCTCGACATGGTGGAAGCGCAAAAGGCGCCCAACGACCCCAATGCTGTGATGGAGTGACTGTCCACCAGAACCCAGCCAGGCGGACAAGACGAAGAGCACCAGCTCTGAAGCATGGGGCGAGAATCGCGCGCTGGGTGCCGTTGCGATTGACGCTTCTCGAGCCCAGTTCACACCTCTTTCTCCCCCACAAAAAGTGGCAGGATGCGGCCCTGGTTGTTGTCGGTGGGGGACAGGCCGACAACAGCCTAGGGAGAATGAAACTCCAGATGCCTTGCTAGGCAATCGATCAGCACCAAGGCACCTGGCGACCCTAGGCGGGCTCACCGCTCCTCGGCAGTGCCAGAACGCAGCCAGCCCCTCCATCGACGACAGACGTCAGTGGACCGAGCTCAGCGATTCGGGCTGGACGGGACAAGAAAGGACTTCGAGTTGTGCCCAGACGTGGCATGGAGGCTCCTGTTCGCCGGCTGGAGGCTGCACAGACGTGCGTGGATCGCGTATCACGGTATCACTCCGGCCCAAGGAACGCCGATTGGGAGCCTTCCGCGCCCCTCGTTGTGCCGCGCCGGCTCCAGTGCGGCCCAATGACGCCGGGCCAATCCCGCCTGCTCAGGAACGCTGGGAATGGGATCCAAGGTGCCATCGCGATGCTCCTGTTCCAAGGGCCGGCTCGTCGCGAACCAGACGCTGGCTGTCGCGTTTCTTTTCCGCTCACTGCGCAGCTGAACACGCTCTGTCTTGCTTGTCGTCGCCTTCCTTGTCCCTGCTTATTCTTGTTTTACAGACACGCGCGTGCTTACGTAATTTATCTGATGAATGGCCACTCGCCCGTACAACGAGGACTCTGTACTGTACAAATCGACGGCCATGTAGACGTCTCCTTTTGGTTAGGTGCTGACTTGTGGCTGCAGATCGAACGATCTTGTTAGTTACGCAGTCCCAGCTTGCATCTGTAGGAACGCGGAGCAGCCGGCCCTGAGCCGCCCTCCGCTGTCATATCGCGATACTGGAATTGCATCCCAACCAAGTGTGCTTTCTGTCGCACCCGGTGGAGGAGAGAGATCCCTGCAGCTGCACGGACTCGCGCGGTTATCGTCGATTAGCGGACGTGGAGAGCTCGCATTCATCCAGCAGCTCGGCTCGATTGAGACGCTGACCAAACGATCGCTTCTGGAACTGGGCGGCGACCTGCTGCTGGTCAGGGCGAATTGGCCGTCTGTGAATTTTGGTCCAGTTAATCCGAAGCACCTGCCAGCTTTTTTGTCGTCCTGTAAATTCCATGGGCAGAATGGCCGCCCAGCCAGTCGGAGAATTGGACGAATGGATGCAGAACAACACCGGCTGGAGTCCACTGTCGCGGTTAGCGACAGGAGAAATAAGACGAAAGGCCGGCAGGGCTGCTCTGGAGCGTTGTCTCTCTGTTGGAATCATATCATACGTAGGTTAGGTACTTATGAGGTGTACCTCCCTGGCCAGGGCCTTGTCTAGTTCGAGCAAGGTCGAACCTCTCCCCGCTTTAGCTGCCTGGTGAACGCCAGCCGCCCTCTAGCTTGCCCTCGCTACTTCTGTCCCTCGTTCCTCTCCCCTTTCTTCTTCTTGCTCCCCAGCCCAGCTTCTTGTACAGTATCTCGCGGATTTCCTCTAATTTCTACGCGGGCATTTTCGTCCCTGCCACACCATCCATTCGTTTTTTTTTCCCTGGGTGCTCCGCGCAGCTCGACCGTGTCGAGGCAGCCGTAAGGCTCCCCCACCATCGATCGGCCTGCTGTGCACCGCTGATGCACAATTGCACGTCCAGGGGCCGCACCGTGAACAGGTCACCTCTGACCCTCGAGGCACCGCGGGCAGACAGATGTGCCGGTCTGCAGACAGCTCTCAGCCGTGGAATCAGGGTCTCTTGTCTCTCTCTGCCAGCCGTCCTGCCTGGGATTCGAGTAAGTCTGCCCTTGCTGGGCGTTTGCGCCAAAACCGCCCCTCAACGCCCCTCTCCGCTCCTTACTTGCGCCCCCGACACACCGCCAACTGTCTCCGCCCCTCTCCAATCACATCCCCCGCCTTGCCCCAGCCACGAAATTGTCCCCTCCCACCTGTTCTGTCGTGCATTGCAGTCAATTCCACCTGAGATCCCATGTCCTCGCTCTGTTGGCGACCGTGGTGATCGCTGCGCTGACATGTTGATTGCCCTGGCTCAGCTTGACCTTCCCGCACCTGCCCACCATGGCCTTCAAGAACGGCCTCAGCGAGCGTCTGGATGAGTTGCGTTTTTCCTCCCCGCGCTCTCCTCCCTCCGAGTCGCCCTTCCCGAGCCTTTCGCCCCTCTCGCCCAGTCAGTCCAGCTTGATTTCGGCCTTCCAGAGACCCTCGAACGATGTGCGCGCCAACCTGCAGCGTCGGTTCACCACCGACGCAAGCAAGCTCTCGTCGTGGAGTTTTTTGAACCAGCAGGCGCCGCAACTGCCAGACTCGCTGGATATACTCTCTTCGGTGAGCTCCCCGCCTGCCTCTCACACAATGGAAGGAGGATACATGCACAGGGTTCGGGTTGGGGTGCTCATCGTTGCGCGCCTGCTCAGACGCTTGTCACCCGCTTTCAACCTGTCTCGTCTTGCCCCTTCCACTAGTGTGCACCTCAAACAGGCCCCTCTTCACTTGTCTGTCATTCACTGACTAACTAATCTGACCAACAGGCCACCCACCTTCATAAATCCCAGCTTGTGAGCCCTCCACTCCTTTCCTTCCCCCGCTCTTCCCCCCCCCCCCCAACTTCTTCCTCCCAAACAGTCTCTGACTTGGCGCAGTTTGAGAAGAAACGGCAGCACATCGAGTACATGCGTGAGCAGAAGAAGAGATTCGAAGCAGATATGAAACTGTTGGACCTGCAGCAGGAGAAAGAGAAGCAGGAGATGGACCAGCTGGCTCGCGACCTCGCACAGGCCGGTCTCTCAGGGCCTGTCAGCGAGCCCACAACTCCCCCGGAATATCGAGATGCAGGCTTCCCCAGTGTCTTTTCTCGTCCGACCCGCTTCTCGACCTCGAGCGTCACCTCCTCCCCGGGGATCTTCAATATTTTCTCTCCCCAGGTTACGTCTCCGTCGGCAACTCAATCGAAGCCTAGCACGGCGCAGACGCCAAACAACCGCTTTTCAGTTCAGTCTGTCCCTGGCTCACGTCGGAACTCTGAAGAGGACGTCGAATACTTCCCGGATTCGATCTCTTCCTTGCGTACTGGCCCATCGTAAGTGCTGTCTCCCCTCATCCCCCTACCCCACTACTTCTCCCAGTGCGCCGCGCTGGCGGGCAGTGAGCTGTTTGTCCTGCGTTCACTTTCCCCTCCTATGGCATTTATCTTGTGAACGACCTCTGCGTGCGTTCACTTTCTTGTCTCTTGGCATCTTGTCACATTCACTCTCCAACAACCTTTCTTTGTTCACCTAACTGACTGATCACCCCAGACTTCATCGTTACTCCCTGCCCACCACCAGCCTTGCTTCTCAGCTCCGTTCACCCACTACAGGCTTCAGCACTTCTACGCTAGACTCCTTTAGCGCAACCAAGTATCTCTTCCACAACGACGAAGACAGGGAAACCCCTAAGGACGAGGATCGGCTCCCAACTCCAGATATCAAGAGCTACCTCAGAATGACGGATCCCGACGACAAGTTTCCCACCCTTTCTCGTAATGACGACAACTCGGGGCTGGTAAGTTTCGACCGCTTTTGTGCTCCGCTTGTATGTTGAACCAAGAGGCGTACTGACTTTTCCTTCTTTAGCTGTCCGCAAATTCCGACGCTCTGGATCTAGCCAACTCCCGTACGCCGAATCCTGAATCTTGGAATACGCACAACCGTCACCGTTCTTCACACCAGAGTATGCCGCAGAATGGTCTGAACATGTTTCGTCTTGACCAGCTCGGCAGTCCGACGTCTGAGAAGCCATCCCAGACTGGCAATGCCCGTCATCTCAGCAGACATTCCGTTGAGTTGAACTTGCTCTATGGAGGAGATAACAACCATGAGCCTACCACTACGGCTACTGCCAGTCGTCCTCTTTCGTTACAGTCGTCCTATTCGACCAACGATCTGCCAACTGTCAAGGGAAATGGTTTCAACCCTGCCATTACTCCGCCAAAAACGCACGCGGAGCAGTTTCACCAGCACAATGCGAGTCTCGGTCGCATTCCGCCGAATGCCATGAACAACCGCTCAGCCAAGGAGTCTCCAGAACGCGACGAGCCCAAACTGCCTAACGGCCAGGCTGCGCAGTCCGCCCTTCAAGCCAGTGCTGCGCCTTTTGGTCCTCAGCTGACCTCGTCGGCTTCTCCTACCACTCTTAACGGTTCGATCGCGCCTAATGGTGTCCCGAACTTTCAGAATCCCTTTTACAACTACAATCTCCAGGCATACATGGGCAATCCGATCCAGGTTAACGGCGGCCCCCTCGCAAACTACAACCCCCACGCCCCCTACGCGGCGTATGCAACCTTTGGCAACTATCGTTTCCCTGAGTCACCAGCCAGGAACTCTCGTCGAAATGGCGACGGCGATCCTTCGCAGATGTCTCGGTTCAATAACTTGCCTCTCGAGCACTATCGGGGCGAGTTGTACAGTTTGTGTAAGGATCAGCATGGATGTCGCTACCTGCAGCGAAAGCTCGAAGAACGGAACCCGGAATATGTCCAAATGATATTCAACGAGACCCATATGCACGTCGTGGAGTTGATGACTGGTATGTTAACACATTGTGCCCTTGTTCGCATATGGAGAAACGCTGATAACCCTTCCACTACAGATCCGTTTGGAAACTACCTCTGCCAGAAGTTGCTTGAGTTCTCGAATGACGAGCAGCGGACCACCCTCATCTACAATGCTGCCCCGCAGCTGGTCAAAATTGCCTTGAACCAACATGGTACTCGTGCTTTGCAAAAGATGATTGAGTTCATTTCTACTCCAGAGCAGACCCAGACGGTCATTCGCGCCCTGCGAGACCGTGTGGTGGATCTTGTCCAGGATCTGAACGGAAACCATGTCATTCAGAAGTGTCTCAATCGCCTTTCTGCGGAGGACGCGCAATTCATTTATGATGCAGTTGGCGCGCACTGCGTCGTCGTCGGAACGCACCGTCATGGGTGCTGTGTGCTGCAGCGCTGCATCGACCACGCCTCTGGCGAGCAGCGGGCTCGGTTGATTGCCCAGATCACCGCCAACGCTTTCGCGCTGGTTCAGGATCCGTTCGGAAATTACGTTGTACAGTACATCCTTGATCTCTCCGAACAGCATTTCACCGAACCGCTTTGTCAAGCTTTCCTGGGCAATGTTGTGCCCTTGTCAAAGCAGAAGTTCAGCTCCAACGTGATTGAAAAGTGTCTGCGGACTGCTGATTATCAAATGCGGCGGAAGATGATCGAGGAAATGCTCGCTCCCAATGAGATGGAGAAAATGCTGCGTGATTCGTTTGCCAACTATGTCGTCCAGACTGCCATGGACTTTGCCGATCCCGAAATGCGCGCTCGCCTTGTCGAAGCCATCCGCCCTATCCTTCCGTCGATTCGCCAGACCCCCCACGGTCGTCGGATCGCTGGAAAGATGTCGGCACCCGACGGATCAGGCCGCTCAAGCAACAATCAGAGTGGACAAGCGACCCCCAATGAGATGGCGTCTGGCCAGTTGCCTTCTTCCATGCAAACGCCCCAGAAGCCATTCATGGCACATCACAATTCGTTCAGCGGCTCTAATGGCAACCAGCAATACGGTTCTCAAGGTCTTCCCTTCTCCGAGGCGGTCACGTCTTCTTTCGCATCTGGGGCTCCTCCTACCTCCGCTTTCAACACGCCATCTTCTGGCGCTCCTGAGACACCTACGGCCATCTTTAACCCCTCGCACCAACCGAACCACGGTCTTGGTGCCCAGAGCCAAGTTTTGGGTGGAAATGGATATTTCTGATCTCCGTGTTACATATCCGATCCGTGGTTTTCTAGTCACAGAATTGTATCCATACTGAGACGATGCGACGATATTCATGACTTAACGGCGCTTTCAACGACATTTATTTGTCACTCGAATATTTTTTTGGGAAATCAATGTGATACCACAGGAAGATTTCAGCATCATCACGTCGCTCTCGACGCATTTTCTCTGGATTCTGTTGTCCATGCATTTTGTGCGCAGGCGTCTGCTTGATCTTGTACTACTTCTCCCAATTTTTCCGATCCTACTGCATGTGCATGCAATCCAATCCAATCAGCGATGATGATAAAGTCATTTCTTTCTTTTTTTCCCCCCCCTTCGCTGTGGCATACGATCAAATCTTCCATTTCATTTTGCTTGCGGCAGTGTGATGTTTTATCTTGGTTTGTTATCTTTCTGGCATTTTTTCGGTCGATGTGCTTCTATTCCCCTTTTTTCTTTTCTAAAACCGGTATCTTTTTTGCTGCAGGGCAAACTCCATGATCCCAGACGATGCGGGGAGAGTAGCATTGCATGCATACCATCATGATGATTTCCAGCCTCTTGTGTGTTTCTTCTCTTTTGTGTTCTTTTTCCTGGGCCCAATTGCCGTTTAGCGACATTATCCGGAGTCGCTATGATCACCAGGTCTCTGTTCATGGAGCCAGGATGATCAAGTCTTGCTGCCACCTTGATCATCGGTATTCTTCTTTTTTGGAATCGGTTCCTCAACGCCCATTGGGTGTCATTTTTGGTTCCATAGACATGGTCACTGGTCCCTCTCTGGAAGTGATTCCCAGGATTGCCTCGGTTAAAGCACTTAGATAGATGTATTCTTACTTCACGATCTGCTTTTATGCATTCTTGAGCCTGCAATGAAACTTGTTATGACCTCTACGAATTGCGTCTCTTGGGTAGGAATGCGTAGCAATGATAGTAGTGGACATAGGGAAGTCAGTGGATGACTCGATGTGGTAAGTTGGCCCTGACACGTGCACGGACCATGTCTTTGGGCCAGCCGCGCGGAAGTTGACGCGACTGCGGCGCTTCAACTGAAGATCTCGATAACCCTTGAAGGAGTGTGACGGCGGAGGTGAGGGCCATCTTGTGGCCAGACTCTGGCCGACGGAACTTGGATCCCTTATGATGTCCCATCCTCTTCCTGTCGACATTGCTCGCTCCCTGAACCAGCAATGGCCGTGTCGCGAGAGCCAGGTCCGGCAACTGGCCGGTCTTCTTAGCGTGAGCTTTCCCACTTCATTCATGGCGGGAATTAATCAGAGTCTTTCCGAGCATAATTCGAAAACTGTGAACATGATCGTGTTGTTTGCTGACTTATGTCCTGCTATTTGACGACTGGAATAGCCTAGCGTCCCAAGTCCTTCAACCCTCGTCCTCTACGGCATTTCTGCGACGTGCAAGTCGACGATCACTCGAGCTGTTCTCTCCGCTCTACGAGTACCACACGCGATCATTCGATGCGCAGAGTGTATCACGGGGAGACACTTGCTGACGAAGATCTTGTTGGAGACCTTGAGCGCTGTTGGATTGGAGGACGAATGGGAAAGGTTCGGCAAGGGGAAATGTGAGCACGTCAGTACGCTCGCCGTTCTTCTGGCGGACGCTTTGGCACCCACGAGTGGAAAGAGGGTTGAGAAATTCGTTTTGGTGCTTGATGGGATTGACAAACAACGGGAGGCGCCGCAAATGCTGCTCTCGGCGCTGGCGAGGTTAGGAGAAGTGGTGAGTTTTCGAGCGTCGGCTTTCAGCACGCGGTCAGCGTTGTTGACCTTTACCCAGATTCCAGTGCTATCTGTGGTTCTGATATTGAATACTACTCCTCGTCCGTTGTTTCTTCAGGCCTCTGGCGTGTCACATATCACATTTCCCCCCTATACGCGAAAAGAGGCGATCACCATCATCACGGCAGCAGGTCCACCTGCTGTGGATGGTCTGTCGCCGGAAACAGCCTCCAAGTTATATCCGCAGTTTGTGTCGACGGTCTATGATTCCCTGGTTGGTCCGACAGCAGGAACGATTCCTTCCTTTCGTTCTATCTGCGAGAGGCTCTGGCCCCGCTTTGTTGAGCCTGTCGTCAATAATGAAACTCCACCTGGGGGAGCCAGGGATTGGGATTTCGCCAGACTGCTGGTGCGGAATCGAGCCATGTTCAAGCAGCAGGGTGAGGCTATGCTTGTTCATCATATAGTCCCAGAAGAAGGCACAAAACAGGGCGTTGTCTCGTCTTCGGCATTGGGTCGTCCCTTGAAATCGCAGCCTCCGTCATTGCCCTATTTCCCAACCCTGGTCTTGACATCTGCCTACGTGGCGTCGCATACGCCCTCTCGTCTGGACACGATTTTCTTCTCCAAGTTCTCATCCTCGTCCTTATCCGCGCGAAACAAACGTTCGCACCACAGGCGGCGGTTGAAACTTCTTTCCCAAGCCCAAGCGGAAGAGGATCGCGACGATCCCTCTACACCCAGTAAAAAGGGCAAACGAACGAAAACACGTATCACCAAATCGATGCTGGATTCCGCTTTTGCGACAACCTCGGCGGCAACGTCCGCAGCTCCTAGCGGCGCTTTAACAGGGCCTTCGACGATCCTGACAGCTCGTCCGTTCACCCTCGAACGGCTCATCGCGATCTACCATGCCATCGATCCCAATCCCCCAGCCAACCCGATCCGTGGTCCGGCCCTTGCGGACTCCATCTACGCGGAGCTGGCCACCCTTCGACGGCTGCGGCTTGTTGTCCCTGCGTCCGGAGTTAATGGCATTGGGGCGAGTGCCGCATCGGGCACCAGCGCTGACGCGGGCGAGAAGTGGTGTGTCAACATCTCCGGTGATTGGATTGACGAACTCGCCAAGGGGATTGGCGTTGAGATTGGGGAATGGTTAGCGGGGGGGCTAGATTAGCGTTAACGTGCGCTGCGTTGGAAGCAGTGATCGACTCGTCCTCTGTCAGATTTAATAGGGCCACAGCACATTTGATGTAACCAGAGATGAATATATTTATTTATAAATAAACAAGTCTTATAAGTCTGAGATCGCTTCACTCGACTGATTCCCATGAAGGGAAAATGCCCGGTATATACCATACCAAGAACTTTCTACTATTCTACTATATCTTTATATATAGTCTTCGTATCTACCTCCCAGGCGGGCTCTCCTAGTACTTACAAAACTCTTCACTACTCGAGCCAGACCAGCCAGGGTGTCAAAAAACGAACCCTGTTAACCTATTACAGGAAACAAATTTACTGTCCAGGATTTTTTTTAACTCTTTGCCTACACTTTTTTTTTCTTGGATTCTGTATTGTCCTAACACTTCAAATCAAACCAAGGCATGGTGCCTAAATAACAAAAAAAAAAGGATCTGGCTAAAGTACAAAGCTAGTCCAATGTTTCTCGACTAATCTAGTCCTGGATATGGATGATAACCTTTCCTCTTGCCCTTTTGCTTTCCATGCGCTGGTAAGCCTGACAATAACGTTAATATACAGTCAGCAAACACGTATCAACTATTATTGACTAGAGAGAGGGTAAAATGAGACGAGATCTCACCTTGGGCACGTCCTCCATCTCCCAGATCGAATCGACCACCTGCCTCAGCTTGCCCTCTGCCACGAGCTGCTTGACCCGGTTGAGCGTCTTGACGTCCGGCGTCGCGCTGTGGAAGATATAAGGACGCGGCACGCCGCCCAAGAACGTAGGCCAGAACCGGTTCGAGAGCTGTTTCCAGGCCCAAGTCAGGAAGCCTGCCAGCGTTGGCGTGGCCGTATACGCTCCGATGTTGAGATAGGGCTTCCCCCGCGCCAGATAATCCGGAGAATGCGTATAGAGATCCTGGATGCCGATACAGTCGATGATGGCGTCGAATGGCTGTTCGGCATGGTGAGAGACGCGGAGATACTCGTGTAGAGGGTCATGCTTGCGATAGTCGATGACCTCGTCCGCCCCCAGGCTCTTGACGAGCTCTGCATTCGCGGCAGAGCACGTCGCCACGACCTGCCCGCTCTCGCCGACGACGTGTCGCGCGATCTGGACCATCATCACCCCGGTCCCGGCGCTGCCTCCGTTGACGAGCACCTTGTCGCCCGTCTTGAGCCCGCTGAGGTCGAGGGTCTGAATGGCTGTGGCGCCCACTGCACCGATGCCTGATGCTTCCGCGAGGGACAGTTTCGACACTGCTGCTGCTGCTTCTTCCCCTGCGATGGAAATGGTGACAACCCGTGAAGCAGGAGCGACGACATACTCCGCCAGCGTGCCCCGGCCGAGACGGAAATGCTCTGCTGGCCTGCAGGAGCCGAACACAAGAGTGCCCGGTTGGAGATCGACACGCGCAGCGAGGACCTCTCGTCCGACAGCGAGAATCGTGCCCGAGAACTCGAGTTCAGGAACGGCGATGCGGTTCTTCGCCGTCCAAGAAAAGGGCAGCGGTGACAGAACCTGCATGATCCATGCCACGCCGCCGTTCATGGCGGCATAGTTGATCTCCACCAGGACATCGTCGGGTCCGATGTCAGAGAGCGAGGGGGCCTTGAAGTGTGGATCGAGCTGGACGACCTGCGATGGAAGACCTCGCCGGGTGTAGGTCCATGCGCGCATGGTCGAGGGGATAGAGAGCCGCCCTTCTTCTGACATTTTGATAACAGACCTACATATTGTCAGTAGGGAAGTATCAGTATGCAGCAAACGGTTCAGCCTGAAAAAAAAAAAAGAAGATGATGGCTATGATATAGATTGTAGGAAAGGAAGGTTCTGGACGACAGCTCTAACCCTGAGCTCAATTGTGCATGGGCAGGCCTGGCAGCGATAAGATGAAATTGTATTCACATTCACATAATATATATTGAATACGTGGAAGAAATTCCACTGACCAAATACGAGAGACAAATAATAGATAGATCAAGAGGTCAGTGCAGGTAAGACTTATCGGTCAGGTGAGGAAGATCATAGAAGTTCTGAATGCTGGTTATAAACAAAAACGTATCGAATTACAGTCATTAGAGGAACTCCCATAAAAGAGATAATCACAAGCAGTAATAAAATAAACGAAAAGACTAGATGTCCTCCTTATTTATTCCTCTATTTTAATAAATTAAGAATAAAGTTCGATAAGGAATCCCTCCTTCCTTTCTTTCCTCTCGGACAAATCAATGTTCGTCCGTGACTAATCACAATATTGAATATACGTATTTCCTATATAGTTGAACAACGTTACGGAGTACAAGCCTTACAGGTCTCGCTTAGCTAGCTCGACTGGTTTGTGAAAAAAAAAATATTATTATTACCTGGTCTGTACCAAGGCTATACCTGCTACTATTTTAAGGTATGTAGTAGTCTACTATAATCAATTAACCCTAAGCCGGAATTCTTCCCATATCCCTTACTACTAAACTACTGTAGTATTAATAGTGAATACATTAGTAAATTAACTACCTAGTCAATCCAACAATTAAGATTGTTTATTAATCTTGTTGATTCGAGTCCCGCCAGCCATGCCATGCAATCAATCCAACATTGTACCGCGCATCGGACGAAAATCTCCGACGAACGAACATAGGGCTTTAACGGCTACAAGCGTTACTACAGGTTTCGCTTCTTCGCTTGGCTGGTCTATGCCAAGGAGTTTCTACTATAACTTTATATATAATATAGTCTTTATTGACTATGTGATGATGTCAAGACGGAGAAGTTTACCCTGCTACACTGTATGTCTCGTGACTGGGTGGAATAAATCAAGGATTTCGTTTCTATTCATTTATGATGTTCATTTCCTGTGTCCAATCTATGTGAAAAAAAAAAAGCAAACTGTCCAATATGTACTGTACAGTATATGCAAATATACCAAAGTTCAAAGTTCATGCCAGAAACCACGCCAATGCCAGTCATGAAAGAATAGGTAAATAATAAATAATATCCGGAGAAATTCCTCTAATCATCATCGTGATCTGATCTCACCACGTCCACTCCTCAATCACAGCACCGGAACTGACCAGTAAGCGGGACGCCTGTCCGTCCCTGACGGGATAATCGCCGTTTTCGAAGCAGATGCGAGAGATAGGATGGAAATGTTGATAACTGGATACAGGAGACGGCACAAGCGAGCCATCGGCGAGGGAGTACAGCTGGATTTTGTGATAATCGGTACCTATATACCAAGAGAAAACAGTTAAGGCAAAGTTCTTGAGGAGAAAAAAAAACCCCGAAATTTGATGGCAATGTTCAGGGAATGGGTTTAGGGGAAAGGGGAAACTTACAACTAGCCAGCAGCCCAAGTTCTTGACTGATGTCAATCTGGTGCATCAGCTCGCTGTCATAATCCGGAAAGGAGAGGTAAGGCTTAGTCGAGGTGTGGCCTTTAGCATTTGGTCTGGGCTTCGTTTGCATGCCGTTTTTCGGATATCGAAGATCATACATCTCCAGCTGTATACCTCATATAAGTAACATGCAATGGATTGCACAGCAAATTCAGAAACATACCGACTTGTAACCCGCCACCACCAATCGATACTCATCGACCTTGCGAACCTTGGCCACGGAATGCGCATGTTGGAGCCGCTCAGACCAGCCGTTGCTGCGGATATCATACAAAAGGATGGCTGAATTTCGAAGCCCCGAGACAATGACGTCCGATGTGAGCCACTCGACGGCCGTAATATCCCATGCCCTTCCGCCAGGCATGCGCCTTTTACCCAGAACCCAATGACCCTGTTGTCCCTCCATTACATGCAAGCCATCAGACGTGCCAATCGCCCAATACGGCTTTTCTCCAGTCGGACGAGCGGCCGAGCACCACAAGGTCCCCTTGTCACGGACCCTATTACTCGCAGCAACAACCTCTGAGGAAACAAGTTAGCCGCCAGCAGCCACCAGCTTGTATTGTCTCTTGTAATACGTACGATTATAGGACCAAGGATAAGCGCCATAGACTTCGGGATCCGGCAGAAATCTTGTCACCAGGCACGAATCTCCTTTTGGACCACTGTCCATAGTCATCCTGGTCGCCCGTCATATGAGCAAGACTGCTCCAAAAATCAATATCAATGCAACTTACAAAAAGTAGCCTGTATGACTCAAGGAAATGGAAGACATCTGGATCGATCAGTATCTGATATTGCAAAAGAGACGTCGCTGGACACATACCCTGTACTGCTCTACAGAGATAACTGCCTCCCTTGCCGGTTGGTACGACCATTTATCAGCGTCGCCGGAGTACGGAGGGCAAATTCTAGAATGTCATTAATATTAAGTTATTCAAAACCTTGGGCAAGCGAAAACTAACGTGACCTGTGACGTATTTCCCTGGTTGATACCTTGACTGCTGTGAGTGAGATGATACGAATGCGCTGTCTTGGTGTCAGACACATACCAGCGACTATGACGCCAGAACGATCATGGCGGGCGAAATCAGCGATAGGAAGCTCCGACCCATCCCTGCTAAATTTGCACAGCTCCCTTCGTTGCAGCTGACTCGCATATGCTTTGCCTTGCCGCGCTTGCATGGCGAATCCCGGCATGAGCTGCTCGCCAACCTCTGTTCCCACTCGAGTTAAAGGATGAGTGAGGCATCCTGCCCTTTTAACCCTCTCCTTTGCAGTTCGACGTCCAAAAGTGATACGCCGCTCATGTTGCTACAGAAGGCGCCATGGTTAGGTTCTATACTTTTCTCGCGCTCAGGAGCGATGAAGGATGAAGGGGAAAGCTACCTTTTTCTGATGCTCCCGCTTCTTGACAGCGTCTCTGGAGTATTGAGACCCCGCAGGGGCGAGATGATTTGCTTGGATCCTGAAATACTTTTTCTTTTCGGGATCTATTTGTTGATTAGCGGCATAGGAGAGCCATGAGAACGTATGCTTTTTACAAACAGAGAAATGACAGTGACTTGTAAAGCACCTTGATGGGTCTAGGAGAAAGACTACTCGCTTAAACTAAATCCATAGCTAGGCTCAGGGCTCTCAGCCCATAGCTGGATGAGATAATCCAAAGATATGAACTGCAGACAGGAGAGGCAGAGCCCCGAAAGAAAGAAAAAGGAAACTAAAAGAGCTCATTTTTCTCTGAGTACTTACCATAATAGAACCCAGGGATTTGCTTCACCATTCTCTCAGCGAAGTCTTCAAAACGGATGTCAACAGGAGCAAAATTCCACTGTCGCTTTATTTTGGCCAGCCTATTCTCATGGAGATGGTATTCTCTCTCTGTAAATCGTTCCCAGGTATGATGACTTATTCATGAGCTGAGATACAGAGCGAGGTGAAGAAAAAGGAAGCAACCCGGTGTGTTCACCGGCATAAAATGACATGGGGAAGATTCTGCTGGCGCTGACATACAGCGGTGTACGCCGTTGAATAAAAAGGCCTGCAGAAGCAGGGTGAGCAGTCTATTCCTCGCAGCCGTTCCCCTTGAGCGATGCTGGCAGGTGTGTTCTCTGGTACTGTGGTACTGTACCTGCCGTAGATGGATTTTGGGGGCGGCATGACGTTGAGTCTCGCCGCTTGATTATGTAATCACAATGTCCGCGAATGATTGGCCAGAAGGATAGGAACCAAGTTCCCCGTCAGATTGCTGTTTTTGTAGATTGCAATGATACTCACACAGCGATGAGCAGAGAGTAGGTTCTTGTCAGATAGACAGATATTTGACTATCTCGCTATGAAGTACTCCGTAATAGGGTGATTGAATTAGGAGCATCTAACCTTGGAAGTTTAGGTGTTTTTAGCTCCCGACCGGCCTGAATTACAGGGTACAGTACGGAGTACATACAACTACCATGGCATCTCTCTCAACGCACCGAATAGCAAGCAAATACTTCGAGTCTTGGACATCGTCCATAGGGATAATGCGTAGATGTTATTTGAAGTTTAGATGAGATTTCTATGAACTTACATACTGGAGGCTTCATGGTTTATTTATCTGCGCTCATAAGGTACTCGTACAGACAAATCAAGAGTAGGATAGATCTACTCCGTATTGCAGATATGATTGTTCCTACATCAGACGATTTCATGGCTGCCTATACGGAGTATTCCGTGCTAGAAGTCTAGAGCTGTTCTAAACTGCATGTCCTGGAGAATGATACTGTAGCAGCCAGGCTGTGCTTGCATTCAGCAATGCAGATGCATGGTCGATCATCGCTGCATTGCCATCACCAGGTCACGGATGCTAGGTGTAGATCACTGCGACAGCGTCGTCATCACTTTCGGGCACGAACCCGATAAGGAGCCCTAATCGCGGATCCCCCGTCCAAGCACCAATCCAGCACCGCGGGAAGTTCAGGGGGCGGATACAATGCCAAGACTTCGGTGTGCAAGGATGATGGCTGGAGGTCCGCTCCGTCCGCACTCCGTTTGGGAAGGCCTCTGAACGGAGTACGGACCCCGAAAAAAAAATCCGGACTCTTATGAGAACAGTGAGGAGAATTCCCTCAGTGCCATTTAACAGCCATAAGTCGCTAAAAGTCGAGAACCGTCAGAACTCCCCAAGAAGACCTGTACGCGGCTGTAGGAAGCAAGGCATGCTGTATCATTTGACAGTAATCGTCTTGGCGTCTTGGGCTTGGCAAATTCCGGATGGACTGGATCACGATCGGGGCGGGAGAGGAAACCAACAGGGAATGCTGTGCTCCGTAAATGTAGCTTGGCAGAGCAGCCTGTAGAAATAGTGAATGTTCTATTTAACGGCTGAATGCGCCATGTGCTTGGCATGAAACCATTAATGCCATGTCAGCCACGATGGTTCTGGTGATCATGGCTTGGCATTTTTCTATCAGGTCCAATTCCCTTGTCAAAGACTGAACCTTGAGCAGAATGCCGACTGTTGCAACTCGTAGGTAGTATCCCACAGTTGTACAAAGACATAGTCAGCATTCCGGGGGCGTTGGAATTGGATTGAGAACATCCCGGAAGCCGGAGAAACAAATAGCACGAAACCCTATTGTCACTTCAACCGATCTCTCCCCATCATCTTCTGCTGTCACTGTTGTCAGCCTGTCACTTCTGTAGAAAGGGCCCCTCAGCAAGGCCTCTGTTACCTCTCCTGTTGCTTGAATTGATCTTCGGAACTAACGCAGCACCATGGAAAATCACTCAATACAGCATCAGATGCCCAGACTGAATGGTTAGCGGGTTTTATTCTGCCACTATCCGCCTTGAGATATTTTTGTCCTTGGCACCTTCCGCTTGGCAGGCGCGGCATCGCGGCTTTGTGTAATCGAGCCATTATTGCTGCAGAAAGCATGTGCTCGCAAAATGAAGAGAGCGAAGATTAATCGGTGGCTTTGGCGTGACTTGGTCATGATGCGCTTCGGTTCCTTACCAGAGAACACCTTGAATCGAAAATCCATGTCATGAAAATAGAACAAGATCGATAAGCAACCACGCTGAGAAGAGGCTCTTAGCTGACGCCACAATACCAGGATTAGAATTGATCTACCAACCCCAAGCACTTTTCGATTCTCAGTGTTCTATCTCACGAGGTAGCACGGGCGGGAATGAGCATGCACCCTCTTAATGCAGAATTTCTTCCACAGCCTTCTAGGGAATAAGCCACGTATGGCCATTGGAGATTTGCATTTTCGACCTTGGCGAAGACAAGACTCTTGGTACCGACGGCCACGTAATGGGCCACAGGGGCGATCAGACCGCACGGGATATAGTCAATGCCCAGCTCGGTTGGCATGGCTGCCTATCTTTCGCGATGCCAAGCCACCGTCACAGTCATACGGTTATGCAATGGTGGTGACAGATGAGAACTGATAACGGCAGACAGGGAGTCCTTGATCAGCGTCCAACCCAACTTTGAGTCCAGTTCAGCGGCATTCAACAGCAGTCTGGGCATGCCGGGTGGCCTTGGCGGAGCCCCTGCAGGCTGGGAGATCCCTCCACATCTCCGCTCGCTGGGCGGAGTATCTGCGGGGAGGAAAGGAGTCCAAAGAAACAGACAGATCTCAAAAGCCAGCAGCGTTCTAAGCCTTCCGGACTATTTGCATTGCATTGCAAGTCTTGGGCCTTGGCGGGGTCTTGGTATACAGCAATACCCGCCCGAACATGACATGGCCGAACAGGGCAGTGCAATCCGCTTGGGGTTGCTCTTCCTCGATACGGTATCTTGTATGGTATCCCCTTATTATATTATGACCCTCGTGTCCTCTTCTTCCCTGCCGTTCTCCTCGTCAAAGCAGGCTATAATAACTCTCTTTCCCTCCATTGTGGCTTTCCAGTTGCTGGTTCTGGTCAATACCGATTGATTACTTACAGGTACTCCGCTGTTTGACCCGGTACTGTCCAGGACTGCTGCCTATATCTACCCCTCTTTTCCCTCCTTTCCCTCTCTCCCTCCTTCCTCCTCTTCTCTCCATCTCTCTCTTTCCTTTCCCCATCATTTCCCCATTAGCCAGGTCCCACCCGCATCTGGCTTTGCTCAGTTTCCACTTCAGCGTTTTGGATCCGTGTTCAAACTCGTATTCTTTATCCCCGCCGACCTGATCATTTCTCTCCCATCCGGTGTCCCTCATCATGGCCGGCTACGCTGGCGCGGCCAGGTCATTCAGGAGTTTGGGCCCTGCGCCCCCGCAGGAACTCGAGAGTGCCAGCAGCAGGCCAGAAACTGGAAAGCCTGTGGATGAGAAGAAGCGTCCTTCCAACGATGACGACGAAGAGGAAGACCTGGACGCCCTTATTGAAGAACTCGAATCGCACGATGGTGACGTAACTGTTGACGACGATGCTTCGGACGACCCTGGAGCCGCCCGTCCTGTCCCTGAGGAATTGCTCCAGACCGATACCCGTACCGGTCTCACCGACAGCGAAGTGCTCGCGCGTCGGAAGAAGTACGGACTGAACCAGATGAAAGAGGAGAAGGAAAACCTTGTCTTGAAGTTCTTCTCCTTCTTTGTTGGACCGATCCAGTTCGTCATGGAGGTAAGTGGATTGACCCAATGACAGGAACAAACAAGTTTAGATCCTGGGGTTTGCTGGTCAGAGAGAACAGGGGACGCAATCTTACTGATCATTTTGTCTTATATAGGCTGCGGCAATCCTGGCTGCTGGTCTTCAGGACTGGGTCGACTTCGGTGTAATTTGTGCTCTGCTGCTGCTCAACGCGGCTGTCGGATTTATTCAGGAGTATCAGGCTGGTTCCATTGTCGATGAGCTGAAGAAAACGCTGGCCCTCAAGGCTGTGGTCTTGCGGAATGGTCAGCTATTTGAGGTCGACGCTACAGAAATAGTCCCCGGTGATATTTTGCAGATCGAAGAGGTGAGAAACGGATTCTACAGAAAACGTCTTCGGAACATACGCTAAATCCATACAGGGCACGATCGTCCCAGCTGATGGTCGAATTGTTACCGAGGGGGCATTCCTTCAAGTCGATCAGTCTGCTATAACAGGTGAATCTCTAGCGGTTGACAAGCACTATGGCGACACCTGCTACGCTTCTTCTGCTGTCAAGCGCGGTGAGGCCTTTATCGTGATCACTGCAACCGGTGACAACACTTTCGTTGGCCGTGCAGCAGCGTTGGTCAACGCAGCCTCTGCTGGAAGTGGACATTTCACCGAGGTTCTCAATGGCATCGGCACCGTCCTGTTGGTCCTCGTCATACTCACCCTTCTGGTGGTCTGGGTAGCTTCATTCTACCGGTCGAATGGCATTGTCAGCATCCTAGAGTTCACCCTGGGGATTACCATCATTGGCGTCCCGGTCGGTCTTCCTGCCGTTGTGACCACCACCATGGCTGTCGGTGCCGCGTATCTGGCCAAGAAGAAAGCTATTGTCCAGAAGCTCTCCGCCATCGAGTCCCTCGCTGGGGTAGAGATCCTCTGCTCCGACAAGACCGGTACTCTGACAAAGAACAAACTGTCCTTGTCCGAGCCATATACTGTTGCCGGCGTCGATCCGGAAGACCTCATGCTCACGGCTTGTCTGGCGGCGTCGCGAAAGAAGAAGGGTATCGACGCCATCGATAAGGCCTTCCTGAAAGCGCTCCGCTACTATCCTCGTGCCAAGAAGGTCCTTACTCAATACCGGGTTGTTGAATTCCATCCCTTCGACCCAGTCTCCAAAAAGGTTACTGCCGTGGTTGAGTCCCCGCAAGGGGAGAGAATTGTGTGCGTCAAAGGTGCACCGCTCTGGGTGTTGAAGACTGTTGAGGAGGACCACCCCATTCCGGAAGAAATCGACAACGCCTACAAGAACAAGGTGGCTGAATTTGCTACCCGCGGCTTTCGCTCCCTCGGCGTGGCTCGCAAGCGTGAAGGCGGTGCGTGGGAGATACTGGGTATCATGCCTTGTTCAGACCCTCCTCGCCATGACACTGCCAAGACAATCAACGAAGCGAAGACTTTGGGTTTGTCGATCAAGATGTTGACGGGTGATGCCGTGGGTATTGCTCGTGAGACATCTCGTCAGCTTGGTCTGGGTACGAATGTATACAATGCGGAGCGCCTGGGTTTGGGTGGTGGCGGTGACATGCCTGGCTCCGAGGTGTATGACTTTGTCGAGGCTGCCGATGGTTTCGCAGAGGTCTTCCCGCAACACAAATACAACGTCGTTGAGATCTTGCAGCAACGTGGTTACCTCGTTGCAATGACGGGCGATGGTGTCAACGACGCCCCATCTCTTAAGAAAGCCGATACGGGCATCGCCGTCGAGGGAGCGTCTGACGCTGCTCGGTCAGCAGCCGACATTGTCTTCCTTGCGCCAGGTCTCTCCGCGATCATCGATGCTCTTAAGACGTCCCGTCAAATCTTCCACCGCATGTACGCCTATGTTGTCTACCGTATTGCGCTGTCGCTTCACCTCGAGATCTTTCTGGGTCTCTGGATCGCGATCCTGAACGAGAGCTTGAACTTGCAATTGGTCGTCTTCATTGCAATTTTCGCCGACATTGCAACCCTGGCGATTGCCTACGATAACGCACCTTACTCCAAGACGCCTGTTAAATGGAATCTCCCCAAACTGTGGGGCATGTCGATTCTCCTGGGCATCGTTCTGGCAGCAGGAACCTGGATCACTCTCACGACCATGTTTGCCGGTGGTGAGAATGGCGGTATTGTCCAGAACTTCGGCAGACGGGACCCCGTCTTGTTCCTCGAAATTTCCTTGACCGAGAACTGGTTGATCTTCATCACCCGTGCCAATGGCCCGTTCTGGTCCTCGATCCCATCATGGCAGCTGGCAGGCGCCATCCTCCTGGTCGATATTGTCGCTACGCTCTTCTGCATTTTTGGTTGGTTTGTCGGAGGGCAGACTTCGATTGTCGCTGTCGTCCGTATTTGGATCTTCTCCTTCGGTGTTTTCTGCGTCATGGGTGGTCTGTATTACCTGCTTCAGGGATCTCGGGGATTCGATAACTTGATGCATGGGAAGAGTCCCAGGCGCAGCCAGAAACAGCGGTCCCTGGAGGATTTCGGTGAGTGTTGTCTGAAATGAATCTAGACTGATCCGTTGCTGACGATTTTCAAAATTAGTTGTTTCATTGCAACGAGTGTCGACGCAGCACGAAAAGAGTTCTTGAATGAGAAGTCAGCAAACACTATACGCTGCAGACTCGTTAAATATTTAATGTTTGTTGAAAAGGGAATCATCACCACACAGAAAATGGCCGAATTGGCATCATTCAGGCCCACACTTGTTTTATATACCCATTCCTCAATCTGTACCTAGACGGTCACTTTTTTTTTGTTTGGTTCTGCCTTCCTTTTTTGTGGTGCTGACTTTTGATGTTGTATCCTTGTTGTATCCTATGGGCATTTTCTATAATCACCTGGAGGTTCTGTTGACTTTCCTTGTGTGAGGGTTTGACTAGAATGTTATAGATAGACAGGTAGGAGGCTAAGTGAAAATCCAATGAATCCTATGTTTGTTTAAACGTCAGGACAATCAGTTTAAATTGATCTACTCCAAACCTCCATCATCATTATCATTAATTATCCTGTCTCTCTTTCTTTCTTTCGGATCTTCCCATCGTCATATCATATTCTGTTATTGTTGTTATGTATTATGTCTGCACTATATGAGAACAATATCAATATCAATATCACTATCGACATCGATACCAGAATCGATATAATCAAGTTCGACTGACTGCACAGTGCACACAAGGAGGGAAACAAAAAACAAAAACTGAAACGAACAAAAAACTAGAAAAAAAAAAATTAAGACAACAAACAAGATTATACAGCTGTCCCGTCCTGTCCTGTCCTGTCCTTTCCTTTCCAATACTTTCATTTTCCCTCCCGCCTATCTATTTATTTATTTATTTAGATATCCGTTTTGCTTTTCTTCTCTTCTCTTTCTCTTCTTTTCTTTCTCGCTTTGCTTCCTCGTTGATTGATTTGATGATGATGATGATGATGATGATGATGATGATGATGCCTATGGAAATCCCGACCGAGGAGGAAAGTTAAAGAAGAAAAGAAGAAATGAAATAAAGAAATGAGCCAGAGAAAGACGCCCAGATACTAGAAAAAAAAGCGTTCCAAAAGAAGACAAAAAAACACGGTAGAACGTATTAAGCAGAAGAAGAAAGTACGGCGGAATCCAATCGTCGGGTCAAAGTACAATTCACATTGATAGGTATTTCCACAATTCCCAAAGTGTAACAAGAGACAGGAAACAAGAAAAAAAAAGAATGAGCAAAGCACTTGAAAAATTTATGTACAGACAAGGCGTGTAATCATCGCTCCAGGACCATCCAACTAACCATACCCACCCAGCCACTCACGAAGATGGCCGTCACGATCCCGGCTCCCGCCCGGTCAGCCGCCGTGATAGGCTTGGTCAGCCCATCCTGTTCGTGGGATGAACTGTCTCCCAGTCCTGCGTTGGGATTACTCGTGCTGTTGCCTCCGGTATCGGCGGTGAGAGGAGCTTTATTCTTGCTCTGGAATGCAACCATGTTGGATGAGAATATGCTCAATGCGGCCATTTGTTCTTCCAAGCCACTATGGCCGTCGAATTTGTTTTCCACCCAGCTAATCCCACAATGTTCACCGTCGTCACCCCCAGTGCACGAGTTGGCCGCTGCCTGGGCCGACTTCTGCAATTTAGGCAGGATGTCGTTGTAGGTATACGGGGCGATGAGGCTGGTGAAAGTCAGCCAGGAGGATAAAAATCCTTTGAAGCAGATCATATTCCGGTCACAGGTATTAACAGGCTCGCAGGAAACCTCGGACATGGTGTCGCCGCCATATTGGGCCGGAAAGAAGGTACTATAGGTTGGCTTGAGCAGGCCATCCAAACGATCTTTCCACTTTTGCGAGCCGTTCGTCTGGCACATCCAAAGTTAGCGATGACTGAAATCATCCAAGATCCATCCTGGTCGACGGGCAAAACATACAAAATTGTACATGTAAGCAGCGCCGCTGATATAGGTTCCGTAGTTGTAGGTCCACTGGATGTCACTGGCCGCTTGACAATCGCTTTCCACCGTGACCAGATCGGCAATGTTCCAAGTGCTCGTGTTGATATTCACCAGTGGGACGCTTGTACTCCAATCCCAAATTTTCTCCGCCCAGTCGGCGTAGGTCTGGTTGTTTGTGTAGCGCGCCAGGCGGGCTGCCAGCTGGAACAGCCCACCATTCGAGATGGCATTCTTCTGGTTATAACCGGCCTGATAGGTGAAGATCTGCCAACGCAAGCCACCATGGCAGGTATTGGGGTCCCAACGCGGCACCTGCGTGTTGAAAACCCCCTGGGCAAGTTCCAGCCAGGACGGAGCATCCGGCTGGCTGGGAAAATTCAACTCGGCACCGGTCATGGCGGCCAGCCCCCAGAAAACTTGGTCATCGTTTCCCTGGTTGCGACCGGAGGACGATTAGCGTCGTGCTTGCCATTGCCGGGACCGCAGAGACTCACCAGGTAGCTACTCCAGTTGGCAGGCATATAGTCGTTATATTCGCCCTTCTGCCACAGCATACCCTGGATGGTCACAGGGTTGTAGGATGGATCTCCGGTCCAGTGCCAGTATTGGATCAGCGTCATGAACATGGCACCACCTTCCCACCAGGTACCCGGGAGCTTGCCGGGAATCTGGCCGGACTGGTTGCCCTGGTAGTAGCTCATCATATCGTAGGCGGCGGTCGCAGCAGCATTCTTGATGGAGTCGGCGCTGTTGATGTCGAGATTGATGCCCATGACCGCTTGACCGGCAAGCAGCAAGGCCGCCAGAGGGCTCCCGAGGGAACCCAGGCGGCGGGCGAAACGCATGATGGGGGAGAGGAAGAGAGAACGAACGAGTGACGCGGACGGAGGACAGCCCTAGCAAACACGATCAGAGAGGGGATGAGGGTCAGCAAGCATGATGAGAGGGTTTGGAGAGGCCGAGGGGGGGGAGGGAGCGAGGGAGAAGCGGCGTTCAGTGACAGCGAGAGGAACGGGCCTAGGGGCTGGCCGCGAGATAAAGGTCTGTCTCAGCGGCAGTCAGGGACTGCCCTGCCGCCTAGCCCGATTCGGCCGTAGCGGCTCGGCGCCCGCGGAGTGCCGGCCCACCCGGCCAAGGCCACTGGCAGTGACTGGCTGGCCCAAAATAGCTGCACCAATCGCCCCCAGATCCTCGCTGGCATACTGCAGCGTTTCCAAGGTTCCTTGTATGAACTGCACGACGAATCGACCGAGTTTGAGCCGCTCATCCGTGGAGGTGGCAGAGTGCGGATGGAAGATCGTCAGCGGAGCGCCTCTCAACACGCAGCGGGCGATCGCTGATGATCGCGGAAAGGATGATGAAATCACGCCTGCGACGCGTGTCCTTGCAGTTTGCGGCTGCCGTCACCGCATCGAGAAGGCGCCTCCCGATCCGGTCTTCCAAGTCACGTGGAATCCGTCGACCCAGACTGTGGCAGTTTCACTTGTCCAAAGCGGCCAAGACGACGTCAGTCAGCTGGTTTCAGTCTGCATCGTAGTCCCCGTCTCTTCTTCCTGTGCCTGTTCGAGGTCTTTACCATTGGTTTCTAGGATTGTACTGTCGCAGCACTGTCATTGGGGACGTCTGTTACACGTCACGTGGCTTCAAGTACAAGTCGAGGACCCTTCAAGACTACCACCATCATTCAAGAGAAGATCGCCCGCCAGCAGCATGAAGCAGGTCTACCACTCTAAAGGTACCTAGTGTCATATCACTTGATTTGCATTGCACACGGTAGACAAATACGGCTACCAACTGGTGACACGTGGTTTCGGCAGTCGAAGGAGTTCATGCACGTAGCCATGGGCAGCTATCTCTCGCAGGCCCCGTACAAGGATTACTCGCTGCGTGCACGAGCTTCCTGCAGTGAGAACTTAGTTCGGCAGGGGCGACTTGTGGTCCAGATTCCAACATGACGTGCCTGAGGAACCTGCCTTGTGGCCCCAGACATCCTGAAGAAAGACCAGGAGGAAGGAGATCATGAAGAGACAGCAGCAAGGATTGTGTTTGAGGCTCACGGGCACAGTCAGGTTATATCATGACTCAAGGCATTTATCATAACGATAGAGGAGTCCGACCTTCCGGAGAGACTCGTTGATTTCGACATTGTCCCACTTTCACTCTCGCAACAACACCGTGTCGGGAGTAAGCTCCCCTGATAAACGAAAAGAAGAGACTGCTGTCTAGCTTTTAGAAGCCCTAGACTGGCCATCCCACAACCATGGCCTTTTTCACTTTATGTACTCGTGACGCTACAAACAGATTGAACTTGTCAACTGAACAGCTTCTGTCCTAAATGCTCTGCTAATTACCAGGTCATCCTCGTCGTCATCATCATCATCATCATCATCATCATCGTCATCGTCATCGTCATCGTCATCGTCGTCGTCGTCGTCGTCGTCGTTTTGATCACTCTCGTCTTTTGTCCTTCACTCAGCCTCCCTATATATACGTGACTGAAGACGTAATGGGGAAATGTTCTCACTCGCGGTTCCCCTGTGTCTTCTTCCACTGATCAATCCACTGCTGCATCGAAGAGCCTTTCTTTGCGGTGAGGAGAACCAGAATGCCACCTACGATGGCGAAGGCGGAGCCTGAAAAATCACATTAGTCGCTAGGACAACCACTTTCGAAAAAAGGAGATCATATAAAGAGAAAGCCCGTATAGGACGTACTCATAGTGCATGCGGCTCCAACGCCAATGGCATTGATCAGAGGCAAAGCAGTGGCGCTTCCTGCCGCCGAAAAAGCGTATTGGATGAAATATTTCCCGGCCATGACTTCAGTCCTCTTGCCAGGCATGACCTCTGTTCCGCAAAAAGTTAGTCATCTAGCTTTTGACTTGGCAATCGAGGTTTACTTGCCTGTACAGTAGGTGTTCAGACTGCTGAATGCCACCATCAGTCCGACACCGCTGAAGAAAATCGATATGATCGGAACAGCCAGCCCGCCCAATGTGAACTGCAGACACCAACCGTAGATGACAGTGGCAATGGGGACTAGGATAAAGAAGGCTACAGTGCCGCTGTTGAGACGATCCTGGGCAATGCGAACACCGTTCCGCTTGATGATATTTCTACGGACTGTAATGTCCGCCCATTTACCACCGACAGTCGTCCCGATGAGGAAGCCCGCTCCGGGGGCAAGATAAAACAGACCAGAGACCAAGGGCGAGGTCAGATGGAACCGAGGATTGATCAATGTTCTTGGTGATGTGAGGAGGGAGTACATCGTCCAGCTCAGCAGGCCGCAGGCAACGTCCTACAATAATAACACATTTCAATCACTGAACCCCCATGAAAAGATGGGTGAATATGGTGCGGGTTGGCGTCGAACATACGGTCAGGACAATATTGGGATAAATTAGCAGCTCGATCACTCGCATAGGATTGAAACGGCTCCGCACTCGTTTCTCTGTCATCGTGTCACCCTGGGCGATAACAGAGCGAGACACGGTTGGCACAAAAATCACCGCGAGAAGCAGTCCACCGCCAGCCATGGCCGCTTGCAGCCAGAAGATGGCTCGCCATGTAGTAAACGTTACCATGACACCTCCAACACATGGGCCTGGAGATCATTGTCAAGTCAGTCACTGTCGTGCTGTAGTTAAGAGACCTCAACTTTCGACGCACCCAGAGCTGGTCCGCAGACTGTTCCACTCATGAAAAAGCCAATTGCCGTTCCACGAGTCGCCTAAAGGAAGACGACAATAGATCAGCTTGGTCCTCAGATTATTAGTCTCTATACTTTACCAATGCTTATGGTATACCGGCTTGAAGATATCCGCAATCATGGCCTGCCCCGCGACCATAAAGAAGGATGCCTCGAATCCCGCCAGCGTGCGCATCGCAACAAAGGTAGGGAAGTTCTTAGAAACTGCCGCTCCAATGGCGAACAGGAGGAAGATGAAGATGGCGAGGTTGTACGCATGTCTACGGCCAATAATCTATCCGAGTTCGAGTTAAAAGAGCGTCAGGTCACAACATCCATAGCATTTCGTGATAATGAATCAATTTTTTGGAAAAGAAGACAAACAAACCGTGCTCAAAGGCCCCCAGATAAACGAGGCGAACCCCATGGCCAACAGAACGCCAGCATTGCTGATGCTCACCACCTCGGCCCTCGTCCCGAATTCGGCGGCAATCTCCGGAGCTGCAGGCAAGAGCGATGTACTCGAGAAAGTCGCAGCCAGAGTCATCCAACTGGCGGTGAAGAGGATCAAGATCTTGCGCCATGTTGGATATCGTTCTGACGGCGGCAGGTCGTCCAGCTGGGTGTTGGCCTCGCTAGGAAGAACCATTGGGCCAGGCGTCGAAGTAGAAGACAGCGGCTGCGATTGAGCTTGCAACTCGATGACTGGCGGTATTGCCGTCTGCTGGTCGGCCGATTGGACGGTGAGGGTGGAAGTGATGGTGGTTGACATGATGGTGAGGGCTGAGTCCTACGAAATAAGATGAATTAAGATATCTCTATGCTCCGTCCACACATAATAACAAGAGTATCTTCTTCCAGCATATCACCATCCATCAAATGGAGAATGTTATACGAAGACCAGACAAAGCCTTTTAAAAAAGCCAAAAAAAGACGCAAAAGCTTTGACTCTTGAGTCATCCATCCACATCTCGGGATTAGCGTCAAGATCTCGAGAAGAGCGAGTGGCCCACCGGAAACTGCGCTATTTTACCGCTGTCTCGAAAGCAGCCCGTCTCTCTCGAAACCGCCGTTTTCCTGGGACATTTTTCTTTGACTACCTAGGTACTTACGGTGGATCCAGTAGTCCTTATTCCGTACATATAGCCGTTTTGACCAGCGAACCGGCAACCGACATACTAATTACTGCCTGTAGTCTGTCGTACAAGGTTAATAATAATCGGTCAGCCTTCGGCTACTCGGATAGCTCGGCCCGAGAGCGAATACGAATGATAATCCGACGTTGCTTGTCTCAAAAGCAATTTACTTAGGACTGGCAAGAAAGAAATAAGTATATGAATTATTGGGAAGGAGAACACAAAGGTCTTCACAGCCACAGAAATGGCTAAGGGATGCTGCTTAGAGAGGTCCAGCGGCGCTGCGAAATAAGCTACACCATGCGAAATCAACAGATGAAACTGCCATGATGATAACTATTATCAAAAGGTATGTAAGGCACAGAATACTATATCACATGATTAATTGATGAATGATTAAACTGAAATAAATTAAAACGGAGCGGCTCAGTCGCAAGTATCCAGTTTGGATCTGTGGTATCAAGGCTGAATGACCAAGTCTTATAGCCGCAAGCATAGATAGTCTCCTCCTCACCCTTTTGCCCTCTTTCCTTTCCATAGATGTTGATGTACAGTGCATATCACATGCTGCAAACTGCAACGCGGTTGACACAAAGAACACAGAGCAGCATGATCATGAAAATCTGACGAAGAGAGATTTGAAAACAACAGAGAATGGAATCGAAAAAGATATATACAAGTTTTTTTAAGTGCGGTTCTCTGGCAATTAAGACCTCGAAGTTAGGTAGTCAGCGGCCTGAGGAGAATTACCGATGTTAGCTACCTTCCACTAGATCTTCCAGGGACCATTTAGAACGGGCCGCACTCACCTTGTCAATGTTATAATCAAATTTTTCCAATGCAGCCAGTGCCTCGTCCCGAGGATAACCCATGCTGGTCAATCGCTGCAAGATCAAGTCATCCTCCGTGTCCGCGGCGAGGGCCCACCCCGGTTGACGGTTCTCAGAGGTCGGGGGAGTCTTGGACTCGGAGGGGTTAGCGGTGCCGTTACCTTCGCTTTCAGGAGCCTTCGCTCCTGAAAGAGGGGCGAAGATTGCATCCCAATCATGTTGGGTCTTTGGCGCATTTCCCCCAGTCGGTGGCTGAGTGGTCGATCCAGTAGATGCTGCTTCCGCAGCCGACGGGTGAACACTGTTGTCAAAATTGAAGAACTCTGACGCCGCCGTGCTGGACGTGCCAGGCTGTGCTGGTGACGTCGTCGCCGCTTTTGCCGGTTGTGATGGCGAGTCAAAGGAAAAGTCAAATTCATTCACTTGCTTATTGAATTGAGACTCAGTTTCATCGTCAGAAGAATCGTCCTCCTCCTTTGCTGGGGCTAGATTTAGGCCTGCAAAGGCGGCATCAAAATCTGGGGCTCCAGCTTTCTTTTGGGCCTCTCCAGCGACGATCGGAGCACCCGTGGAGGATTCCACCGCATGAGGAGCATCTGGAGCCTTAGTGGGGTCTGCTCGACTAGGCACCAGACCATCAAACTCACGGGGGAAATCCCCTGACTCCTTCCTAGGCGCACTCTGATCATAGTTGGGAGGAGAACTCTGAGCGTCTGCCGGAGGAGGCTGGGCAGGTGCAGCGCCAGTTCCGGTTCCGGGAGCAGGGAACGCTTGTAATTGTGCGGCATCAATCGAGTCGCTCTTCGAATGCTCCTTGTCTGGCGGAGAGCTGGGAGTGAAGTTGTCATCAAAGCCCAAAGGAGCTTCGCTGTCGGTGCTTTCGTCATCGTCATTGTCAAACTCCCTGATCGGAGGAAACTCGCTGTCACCGTTGACCTTGTTGCCCTGCGCGGTAGTACGCGGCTTCATTCCAGCAAAAGCCTCTTCAAAATCGTTTGCTTTCTGAGATTGAGACCGTTCACGGGCGACATTGCCAAATAATTCATCGAAACTAGGATCCTTACGTGGAGCCGAAGGTCCCTCGGCACCAGTCGATGTCTCGGTAGGGAATTCGCCGGGCAGGCTAGGGAACGGCTGTTTAGAATCATCCTGCGATGAAGTAACAGGGTCGTGGCTTTCCTCGGTTGTAGGCTCCTGTGCGCCGTCAAATGGAGAGCGCGCCGCTGACTTGTCGTTACCACTGCTTTCACTGGGCCCTGACACTGCATTGGAGGTTGTCGGTCTCGGTGGGGTCCCAGGTCCTTCATTACGCAGTGAAACGAAGTTCGATTGAGGAGGCGGTGACACTGACGGAGTCGGAATTCCGGATGTGTCAGGACTCTTAGAAGCATCTCGTGCCTGCTGCACCGACGGAGACCCAGCCCTAAAAGACGTTGGAGGCGGGGGAGTCGGTGTTGATGGACTGGAAAACGCTGGGCCGAATAGGTTGTCGAAAGCGCTCTGCTGGTTGGAAGAAGGTGACAAAGTCCTCTCCGAGGAGCCCGTCGTAGTCCGTCTGAAGAACGGATTGGTCTGCTGGCTCGCTGTCGACAGGGCCGGACTGGAGACATCGGCAGCACCGGTAGTGACTGGCGCAGGGGCCTCTTCCGCTTCCTGCTTCTCTTTTACAAGCGAGTCAATTTCCCCTTGAATCCTATCGCGTTCAGCCTCGACGGTGGCCAATTGCTTCTTGTTGATGGCAACCAGACCCTTCTGCTGGCGTGCTTCGGAGCGAGCCTTTTCCAGTGCCGGCTTGAGCTGGTTCACCTCAGCATTCGCCTGACGGATCTTCTCCTTCAGAGCCGCGTTCTCGCTCTGGTCAGCTGCTAGTGCAGCGGACACTTGGTCATACTGATTCTGCAAGTCCTGCCGGCTGGCTTCTATCAGGGCATACTCCTGCTGGAGTTTCTTCGTTTCCGCTCGTGAAGCATTCAAGCGCTCTTCAAGGGCCTTGAAATCCTTAAGCTCTTTCTCATACATCGCCCTAGCTTGTGCCAGGCGCGCTTCAAAGTCGCGCTTCTGTTGCGAGGTTTGAGAGAATTCTTGTTCTGCTGCTGCACGCTGTTGCTGGACATTCTGCATCTCCTTGGACAGAGAACCGATCTGATTCGACAGGTTGGCGAGGTCGGTCGTCTCCTGAGTCAGCTTCTTGCTCTCTTCGGGGTCATTGTCGCCCAGCAGATCATCATCAGGAGCTGGGGGAGATTTGGCCGTAGCCCCAGCACCGGTCAACTGGGGATTCAAACTCTGGCCGAATTGAGAAGAAGGAACAAAAGGTTTGAATGCAGTGGATGATCCCTGCTGAGACGTTCTCGAAGGAGACCCTGGGGACTGGAAAGGCGGATTCGACCCTCCAGTGGATTGAGGCTGCTGAGCAGGTGCGGCAGGAGCCGGAGTGCTGAAGGCATCCAGTCCGAAGAGATCCTCGGCGGCGGACCGTGGCGCAGGAGCCGCCGGAGCTGGCGCTGGCGCTGGAGCAGAGACTGGCGTTTGCACAGTTCTTGCAGCAGCTTGACGACGCATACTTGGGGGAACCAAGGCAGGGGGAAGCGTGGGCGGAAGAGGCTCCTTCTTGGTTCGTTGCTGGCGCACAAGATACATGGCAACAGCGAACTCGTCCTTAGTCAACTGCCCATCCGCATCGATATCGGCCAGATCCCAGATCTGCGCTAGCGTTTCCTCCGGAAGCTGGGCATTCGCAAAAAATACAACAGCCTGGTCACCACTGATCACGCCTGAATTTGCAGTATCCACCGTCGCAAAGATGGAGTCGAAATGCGCCTTCTCCTGAGGGGTGATCAACCAATCACCACCCGTTGATTGTGCAGAGAGCGGTGAAGGAAAAGGCTGCCTGTTCAGTGGACTCTGAGTCCGCTGCGGACCGGTAAACTGCGTCGGTATAGCCGGCACTGGTGGTATATCTGAACCGCCACGAGAACCGGTAGATGTGCGAGCAACTCGTCGAGAAGCCGCTTCATACAAACCCGGTGGTAGGGACTGGGGGATTCCCCGCATAGCGCCGGTCTTATACGACGTCAGGAGGTGCATGGCGATAACGAATTCTGTCGCGTCCAGCTGTCCGCGCTGTTTCGTATCTGCAAGATTCCATATGCGGCCCAGAACCTCATTGGGCAATCTTGCGCGCTCGAATATCTGCTTCGCCGTCTCACCTGGACAAAACACATATTAGCCCATCCCAGAACCACTCAGAGCATGAATCCGTATTCTATGTTTTCTCGTACCCGACATGACTCCATTTTGGGTCTCTGATTTGTCAAAGAGAGACTTGAATTTGTTAACATCGTCAGGGTTCAACGGAGGAACCCTGACCGGACCAGGCGGGGGAGGACTAGCAGTAGAGGGACGCGACGGGGGAGCGTCTGTTAGACCCTCAAATCGCGGCAAAGGACCAGCTATACAGCAGAATTATCCATCAGCAACTCCATCACTTAGAGACTTGCTTCATGGTCACTCACGCTGCAAGGCCAGCTCCTCTGTAGGAGCGCGACCGGCTTGCGCATGCCCAATCAATCTCAGGACCATTGAGAAGCCGGAGGGCGTCAGGAGGCCCCGGTTCTCTTTGTCCGCAATCTGCCATATCTGCAATACAAACCATATCAATAACCCGTCGACCCTTAAACTTCTCGATTCAGAAAATCGGAACATACCAATCCAAGTGTCTCCGCGGGAAGCTTCGTCTTTTCGAAAAAGGGGACAGCGACTTCGCCCGTGATAACACCGAGGTTGGTCGTATCAGCCGCCTGGAAAAGCTGGTAGAACACCCGCTTCTCCTCCGGCGTGAGATTGAGGTTTGGTCCTGGTTTCCCTATAGCATCAAAAGGGGGTTCTGTTAGCTTCGCTACCAGGCCTCCGATCGAATTTTGAATCGCCCCCGCGTCTGCCACGACAGACCCTTCACGCGATGAGGGCTTTTTCATTATTGCCGACTCGGGTGCTGTGTAAGGGGGGGGGGGGGGCAGGGATATCCATTCGATTCGCACTCACCACCCTCCGGCATTGTTTCTGTCTAGGACGAAATAGTCTCCCAGTCCTCTATCTTGCGCCGCTTCCCAAGGCGAGAGAGAACCTTGGTGGGAGTACAGCGGGAATTGAGCAATGTAGACAGATGGTGTGCAAATACGATCAACACGGGTAGTCGAGACCAGTTCCCACAGGCATGGACGGGAGAGCTGGGGGCTTGGTGGGAACCCCGGTGGGTGCCAGCTGATCGTGGCTTGGAGCTAGGAAAAACAAATGAGGCGGTTGAGGACCGGTGTTCCAGAATGCAAGAGAAACGGAGCGCCTAGGATCCTCACACCTCAAGTCTGAGGGAGTCGTAGGAAGGTCTTCGCCCGTGGAGGGGAAGGCTAACCAAGGCAAGGTCAACTCTGGCCGACGAGACGGGCGGGAACTTGGGAATGGAGGTGGATGCTGGCGGCTTACCGGGGGCGCCAGATGCATGGCGTAAGGCAGGAATCTATTGTTGGCGGCTTCAAGCACGGGGGGTTCGTTACCGCAGGCTTACACGGTAACGATGGAAGGACCACTCAGCGATCGCCCTCAAGCTTGACGTTACCGTAAGTTTGTCACGTTACGGGGATCCGGTTATGTTGCTTATGTAAGCACCCACCCCTGCGCAAGCTGCCGGCCGGCGGAACTGCAGGACGACGTCACCAAGCTCTACAGTTAGCACAATTGAAAGCAACGTCAGGCTACTTTCCAATTTGAAGACTACATAGGGACTCCGCGTTAAGCCAAAGTTTCAATAATTTATTACTGAAGAGTATTAAAGAAAGGATATCTTCAATTAAAAAACATATGGATCAGGCAGCCCGGAAAGCGTGCGGACAGTCGCTCTCGTCTTCATATTGGGATCAAACATCAAGCAGATCTCCAGTAAAGTGGCGAAGCCTGTCCTTTAATACACTCCAGAGATGCCAGGAAAGTTAGGAAGCGAGATCATGTAGCTGGGTATATAGCGACGCGACACATGACCCGTCTTCCCGGTTTTCCAATTGTATGTACGTGAATTCGACTAGTACTCGGCCTCAGCCGCTTCGTCCTCCTCAACCGAGTCACTTGCAACCTCCTCATAATCACGCTCAAGAGCGGCCAAGTCCTCACGAGCCTCGGAGAACTCGCCTTCCTCCATACCCTCGCCGACGTACCAGTGCACGAAAGCGCGCTTGGAATACATGAGGTCGAATTTGTGGTCGAGGGCAGACCAGGCCTCGGCGATAGCAGTGGTGTTGGACAACATGCAGCTGAAAAAAAAAATCCGTCAGCAAAAGTGGACTAACAGAAGAGACAAAGAAAATATAGCATAACTATAAACGGGACGGGAACACATACACAGCCCGCTCAACCTTGGCGAGGTCGCCGTTGGGAACCATCTGGGGCGGTTGGTAACAGATACCAATCTTGAAACCAGTCGGGCACCAGTCAACAAACTGGACCGTACGCTTGGTCTTCAGAGTCGCGACAGCAGCGTGGGTCTCCTTAGGGACGACATCTCCACGGTACAACAGGCAAATTGCCATGTACTTGCCGTTACGAGGGTCGCACTTGACCATCTGCTGGTTAGGTTCGAAGCAGGACATGGTAATCTCGTTCACCGAATTCGACTCGTGCGACGCCTTGGCGGCAGAGACAACAGGAGCAAAGGCCACCAGAGGGAAGTGGATACGCGGGTAGGGAACCAGGTTGGTCTGGAACTCATTCAGGTCGACGTTGAGAGAACCATCGAAACGGAGAGAGGCGGTGATCGACGAGACGACTGCTAGCAGTTAGAGTCTGCAATACACAATACGTTCCACCTCTTCTTCATCAAGAACGATAACAAGACGTACCCTGAGCAATCAGACGGTTCAGGTTCTCGTAGCTGGGGCGCTCAATGCCGAGGTTGCGACGACAGATGTCGTAAATGGCCTCGTTGTCAACCATGAAGCTGCAGTCAGAGTGCTCCAGTGTGGTGTGCGTCGTGAGAATGGAGTTGTAGGGCTCCACGACAGAAGTAGCATTCTGAGGAGCAGGGTACACACAGAACTCCAGCTTGGACTTCTTGCCATAGTCGACCGACAGGCGCTCCATCAGCAGAGCACCGAAACCGGAACCGGTACCACCACCGAAGGAGTGGAAGACAAGGAAACCTTGCAGGCCGGAGCAGTTGTCGGCGACACGGCGGACCTTGTCGAGGACCTCGTCGATCATCTCCTTGCCGACGGTGTAGTGGCCACGAGCATAGTTGTTCGAGGCATCCTCCTTTCCGGTAATCATCTGCTCCGGGTGGAACAAGCTGCGGTAGGGGCCGGTGCGGACCTCGTCAACAACATTGGGTTCAAGGTCACAGTAGATGGTTCGGGGAACATATTTGCCCTGGCCTAAATGAGAGAAGGGGCGTCAGAAAACGAGTCCATGTTCGGGATTATTCACAGGTTCATCCGAATCCCAGCCATATGGAAAACATACCGGTCTCAGAGAAGAAGGTGCTGAATCCCTGGTCAGGGTCGGCATTTTTGCGTTCCTCTGTCAGGTAACCATCAGGCTGTTGTCCAGAATTTGTCAGCAACAAGATGCCCTGCAAGACACGAAAGAAAAGTCGCCGAGACATGTTGTGACGGGATGGGTCTCGCTGCGTACCTGGATACCGTGCTCAAGACAGTAGAGCTGAAGTCGTCATCCGTTAGTTGACACCATTCTTTTCCCATGAACACAGTTGACGCAAAAGCCCATACCTCCCAGCAGGCGTTGGCGATCTGGCAACCAGCCTGACCGACTATTGCAGTATTAGCACGCGTCTTTATCTTCAGCTCCCAGGGGACAGAGCTGGCACAACAGGACACATACCGTTCAAACTGATAACTTCTCGCATCTTGCCGGACTATCTGAACACTGCAAAGATGAAACCAGAGATAAGCTACTGTGATCACGAAAACCCAGGGAAAAGGGGGGCAGCTGTCCTCTGCTTTAAGAATGCGGGAAGAGGCAGAGGAGGGGTAAGGGAGGCAGAGAAGGAACAACAAACCTCTCTACTCAGGACCAGACAAGGTAACAGGGAAATTGGTGATGGACGGTTTGGAGGGACAACACGTAGGACTCAGATGCCTGACAGCAGACAAGCGGCCTGACTTTTTTGTTGTGGAAAAGGCTGTTCATGCAGGAGCCCACCGCCTATGGGCCAGCGCGTGCTCCGGGCGGTCTGCCTGGAGGCAGTGATGACTTGGGGATCCGCCATGGCGGTTCGCGTAGCTTCCTAGTTGAGCCGGAGCCCCTTTTTGGGCGTGTTTACCTTCTCTAGCCAGCGCCGCGACTGAGCTAGCGCCGAAGCCTATTTGCTCGCCGCGGCTGGTGTGGGCCAACCATTGAACCTGCGGGGCCGGCCCCGGCGACTCTGCTGGCGCCCCCTGGTTGGCTGGAAAGGTTCTGCCGACTGCCCCGTGACCGCCTAGCCTGATTGGAACACTGGATGACTAATCAGACCCGATGACGCGCCTGCCAACCCGGGTAATCCATGGAGGGACAGAGAAGAGGATTGGGATCAAGCAGCAATTCTGTACCGGATGAACTGGATTGTCACAGCCTGATACCAGGTAAGTTGATATGGTCCATGCCTTTTGCACGTTTCAGCGTCATGGGAAGGGGACTCTTCTCTACTGTACATGATTTCTACCCCTAACAAGGTTGTATCCGAGCAATATATATTTATACAAGTGTCCAACATCTTAGTCTTCAGGTTTACCCCTACTGGTTTGACCCCGCATTCTAGAAGAAATTCCTCAAGGCTTTCCCTCTTGTGACGGTATTTTTTTTGCTCTCTTACGAATAGCATAAAATGTTTGTTACTGTTTGGATTTGCAAGCGTGTCAATGATCAATCTCTGCAATGTCTATACAAGTACTTTCAACGTTCTGGAAAGAAGCTGATCAAACCTTTGCAGACATGAGCTTGCTGGCCTAAAATTCCGCAAGTCGAGGTCTCCATGGCTGATTGTGGATCGACGTATATATGATACGAAAAATGCTCAACTGTTAAAAAAAAAAAAGAAACAAGCCGAGATTATAGAACAATCAAGACAATAAAAAAGAAAGTGCCGAAAACGATGTACCAATCAATCCTTTATATTCTAAGCATCCAGTTGATTTTGACGCTTTTTCCTTGTTTCACCACTGCCAACGTCGAAAAGACAATTTTTGTTGCCCCTCCTCCAAGTCCCATTCCAGCAGAAAACCCGGGACTCGATGATCTCGGCCTCGACCGTCTGTCACCGTCCGATTTTGTGGTGAGGACATATTTGAATGCATCCTTTCCAACGGAGGATGCGCCTCAAGGGTCTGAGTCATGGTTCTACCTTGAAGACTTAAACCCAGGCCAGCGGTATGAGGTGCGGATATGTTGGCTAGCCACGGTGAGTTGGTTTTCGTTTTTTTGTCCCCCATATGAACACAGAAATGGCGAGGAAAATTCGCACAGAAATATGGAGAATGGCAAGAGGAGCAGGAGAAACAAGAAAAGGACAACTTTGCGTCGATAGGCTTGATGCTGACTCGATCATAGCAACCTACCGCCTTCACCCTCACCACACACTCTCTTCATGAAACCGTCTCCGATCCTGCTCTTTTGTCTGCACTGGGCGCCTTCTCGTCTGCGCGTCTCTCTTCAACAGCGTCAACACCGCTCTCAGTCCCACCTGAGGCCCATGACCAACAAGACCATATTGTCCCAGTACCAAATCAGCCTAAGGCTTATCACCATCATCACCTTCGCCGTGGTCGCAGCCGTACTGCTGTGGACAAGACGCAGAACCCTCTTGCACGGTCCTCTCAGACCGAATCTGTCCTTTTCCTCCGCGTCTTCGCGGCAGCAGATTACTTCACGCTGAACACGTCCATGATGGAGACCGTCCCTCCCGTCATGGTGGACATCATCCTCGACCCGTTTCTACTGAACATGTTCCCAAGGTCATTGGTGCCTACTGCTGTATGGATAGTCGTTGTAACGGCTCTGGCCTGGTACGTCGGTGGGTGGGTCGTGAAGACCTTGTCTGAGATTATCTCCAGCGCAGCAGCAGCGGATGATGAAAACAAGGCGAAGGAGAACAAGAGACAGGAAGAGAATAAGAAAAAGCAGTAGACTTTCTTAGAGGGCAAAAAAAAAAGGCAAGATAAGAAACGGAATAGTCGAAGAGACAACACGGGGAGGGCTCTATGATTGTATTTCTACTACATACTAACACATCGATCCCATCATCATTGTAAGGGTGTTTGTACTATGAGATGATGCTCAATGTACTGTACTATTTATGTATTTTTTTAGTTATATGGGAAGGATCTGAGAATTCATCTTTTTCGATTATAGAATCCGATTTGGCTAGGCCAACATAGTATTATTTCTGCCATTATGTGGTCAAATTCTGATTTTTAATATGTTGACTTTTTTTTATTTTTGAAGGCTCTTTCCCTTCACCCCAGCCAAAAATAAAAAAAAGTAAATCTTATGAAGTAGATTAGTTGAAGAAAGGCCCTTCTACCTCTCTTCTATCATTACCCAAAACGAAGATACAGCCACGCTATGCAGCTAGTCACAAGAGATAATACGGTACATGAAAATTGCGAACAAAAGCGCATAGATTTTTCGGACATGTTCCTTTCCATGTGTACCAAAAGACACAGGTCCCGTCTTCCCAGGTCATGTCCATGTCCTACCACAACTCCTCTGTCCTATCCATGGGGTCATGGCCAAGCTTGCGAGCTCACCAATTCATTATCGACGTCATGCCACTAGAAATCCCTTAGGACAGCCACCAGATCATCTAGTCGAGAGACCTCCCCCAGCAATAGGGCCTCCTTATCTCGCCACTGTTGCAGCGTCTTCAATTCTGCCTCTGACAGATATCGTTCTTCATTGCCCTTTACATCACTGCGTTCCGTCTTATCCAGGAACTCTCTCAGCCGGTTGCGCTCGAACCGGATCCGTTGCAGACAACGTGACATGGCTTTGTAAGTATCTTGCAAGAGATTGCGGCACACCCTGTCCGGGTCGTAGAACCACAGATAGATTGTGCGGGACGGCTGGCGCTGGGCGTCACGAGGCACTTCTTGCAGGTCCACAAACCCAGTCGCCTGCATGCCTCCAAGTACCTGGCGCAGATCCTTGGACGAGAGAAGGCTGATCTCCTGCAGACGCTTCTCGTCCAACTTGCCCTTGGCGAGTAAGATACGGATTACCCGCAATGCGGCGCTACCATATCGAGTTCCAACAATACGTTCTATTTCGAGATGGCGGAGATGCCGAGCGAGATGTCGATATTCGACTGTCCACGAAGGTATGCCCGAGCTGAGCCGACGAGAGCAGAAATTATAGGGGGGCTGAGCAAGGAGAGTGAGATGCTGATCAATGTCGTGCGTCCGGTTCCCTTTCAGTGCTCCATCAGGTTCGTCCTCTCCGTCGCCATTCACGCCATTTTCCAGAGGCCGTTTTCCTCTTCTACCGGGCGGCTGCGACGGATCCATAGGACCGATGGAGCCTGCAAGATCGAGTTGAGGATCGACTTCCTCGGCGAGGGTGTGAAGAGGAATGGCAACGGAATACCGCTCTCCCTCCTCTCCCTCGGGTGGTATTTCCGGTTGATCGCGGCAGCGTGGTGTCTGGTATTCGATGAGACGGAGGAGAGTTTCATAAACTTGGGCCGTGACAGCCGAGGAATATTGCTCTGCGAGCTCAACTAGGCGGCGGTTTCGAAAGACGACGTCGAGCTTCTCATAATTGACGCGAACAATTAAATCAGACTGAAAACCGTTCAGCAGCCATCACATGCAAACATTGAACGCAACAACGGATTCACCTTCATTGGTACCGTGTCTTCCACCACATCGTCATCCGACCAGTCGTCCTCTTCAGAGTCGTCTTCCGCAACCGCATGCGCCACAGAGGGTTCCAACCTCGGTCGCTTGTTGGAACCATTGGCGATCCCGTTCGCATGTCGCCTCTTCACCCCTCGAGGAATCCCTTTAAACATCAACCCCCGGGTGAGATCTCCGTCGGTGCGTTCCTTGACCAGACGTTCGACTGCTTCCACGAGCGCTTCATCCAGTTTCTTGCCCTTGAGCCCTTTCATGTCTGGTCTCGACTTAATTGATCTTTCTGCATCCATCACGATGTCCGCATGACTTTGAAAGTGAGCGTCCCGAACACGGATAATGTATCCATGAGCAGCCAGCGCTTTCAACGTAGAGTGCAGGCGGAGGCGACTCTCCTCGTTAGATGCATGATCACCATTGGGAATTGACGTGTGCTTTTCAGCGTCGTCCCCGTCCTCTTTCTCGACCCCCTCATCCTGATCGGAATGTTCGTGGTCGCTGCTGACGCCGTTCGTTTGAGTCTCCTTGGGCTGTTCGGACAAGAGCTCCGGCAACGTCTCCAGGTAGCTGACCTGCGCATGTCCCAGATACATGATAGTCGACAGGACAGTTGCGGCATATTCTCCGAGTCTGTTTGCAACCACCTCCAAGATCTTGCCAGACCTTATGAGGTAATATGCCGACTGAGTATTGGCCTCGTAGTACGTCACGCCATCGTCGTATGAAGTGTAGTGAAAGACAAGGTGCATCTGGATCATTGCAGAAAGGCCATAATGCAGCTGTTTGTCTGAGAGACGAGAGTAAAATTTGAGACGTGGGAGCGCGAGACGGTCATAGCGGACGAGGGTGGAAAAGATGCGCTGTGTATAGCAGGTAACGTCAGTAACACACAATTGCAAATTGCAGCTTCGGAATTTCACGAAAGCAAGTCAGCAACATATTGGATGAATAACATACCCCAAAGAGTTCTCCGAAATTGTCTTCGACTAGGAGCGTACAGAGCTCCGCGGCATACTATCGCAACCATCAGCAGCAGCTCCTCACAGAAAACGATCAGGCTTGTATACTTGGGACATGGTGTCGCGCTTCTAGAGAACGGTCAGCTCCTCTAGAAGGATCGGAAAAGGTCACCGCTTGATTGTCATTGGAGGACGATAAGATGCGAGCAGAACAGAACAAGAAGCATCGCAAAAAGGACGTCGTCCTTTTTTTCGTCGCTTCGCATTCGCTCATTAACTCTTCTGCTCTTGTCCCTCTTTCTCCACCGCAATGCCACCAAGCACGTGATGAGGGGTCACCTGACTCGGTGCTTGGAAAAAATCGGGTTCCGCCCGCAATGGTCCGTCCAGCCAATCAGGGCGCGCGCAATCCTCGTCGGCCAGGACCGGCTCGGGATCTTGAAGCTTTTCAAAACGTCCTCCAGGATACATCGACAGCAGCACCTCCTCCTTCCGCCTCCCCAGGGTCGCTCAATTGCTCCCAACTCCTGCCTATCTCACCCTCCCCTGTCCCAGTCTCTGCATCACGCATGCGATGATGTTGTCGCGGTCTGCCTTCGGCCGTACTGCGCCGCGTGCGCTCCGGACGCAATGCTGTGCTGTCAGTGCCAACAGCCGTCGGGGACTCGCCTCGGCCGCTCCAAGCCTCCAGTACGAGACTGCTGAGGCTGCGGGCGTCAAGTTTGCCAATCGGGAAGTCGAGGGTCCTACGTCGACGCTGTCGCTGGTTGCAAAGGCCGGTCCCCGCTACCAGCCTTTCCCTGGCTTCTCCGACGCCCTCGAGCAATTCGCCTTCAAGGTGCGTTGTAGGGGTGCCATTGGGCCTCCAATGCCTGCCCAAGATGTCTGAAAGTCTTGTAGACTGACATTGATGCCATTGACAGTCCACTTTGAAGCGATCGGGCCTACGGATCACTCGGGAAACAGAGCTGCTGGGTAGCGAAGTTAGTGCGAAGCGTTCGCGGGAGAACATCATTCTCCAGGCCAAGTTCCTCTCGGGCGATCTCCCGTACTTCGCAGAACTGCTGGCTGAAGTTGCCTCTCAAACCAAATTCACGAGTGAGTTGGCTTCTTTGGGATACCAAGGAACCCGCTATGAACCGAATATCTAATTATATTGATTTTAGCTCATGAATTGAACGAGCTTGTTCTCGAGACCATCAAGCACCGGCAACACGCTCTCTTGGCCTCGCCTGAAAACCTGGCTCTGGATGCGGCGCACGGTGCTGCTTTCCACCGCGGACTCGGTGAGAACATCGTTCCGTCAACTTCTACGCCGTTTGAGCAGTACCTCTCCGCAGAGGCTATTGCCGAGTTTGCCAAGGGAGCGTATGCCAAACCCAACATCGCTCTGGTTTCTACCGGAACAAGCTCCTCGGAGCTGTCTAAGTGGGTCAGCCAGTTCTTCAGCGACCTCCCCAGCAGCACGGCTTCTGGTCAGTTCAAGCCGAAGGAGAGTGTGCCTTCGAAGTTCTACGGCGGCGAGCAGCGCGTTCCCAGCAAGGCCGGCAATGCCATTGTCATCGCTTTCCCCGGTTCCGCTACTTACGGCGCTTCGAACTACAAGCCTGAAGCTGCTGTTCTGGCTGCCCTCCTGGGCGGTGAATCGTCCATCAAATGGTCTCGTGGCTTCTCGCTCCTGGCGAAGGCCGCTGAGGGCTTCTCCCAGGTCCGTGTTTCGACGAAGAACCACGCTTACTCGGATGCTGGCCTCTTCGCCATCACTATTTCCGGCAAAGCCGATGACGTCGCTGCTGTCAGCAAGAACGCTGCCGACGTCCTGAAGAAGGTCGCTGCTGGCGACGTTTCCAGCGAGGACTTCAACAAGGCCGTCGCCCAGGCCAAGTTCCGCGCTCTTGAGTCTGCCCAGCTCCTCGAGACGGGCGTCGAGCTCACTGGATCCGGCCTGATCAGCGGTGCCAAGCCTTACCAGATTGGAGAGGTTGCCCAGAGCTTCGACAAGGTTTCCCAGCAGCAGGTCCAGGAGGTAAGTTCAACATCTGCCGTCGTCTACATATGGATTCTGCTAGGACCAGGCTAATATCTTTTTCTCTCTCCAGCTTGCCAAGTCCTTCCTCTCCGGAAAGGCCGCCGTCGCTGCCGTCGGAGACCTCTTCAAGCTGCCTTACGCCACGGACCTTTGTCTGACTGTTTAAAAACAAACGAGTGAAACAAACAGCGAGACCGTGAATTCTTTTGTCTAGACTGGTCTTGATAAGACTTGCCCAGACAGTGGACACCACCTGACTTTCTCCGTCAACCTCGAAACAAACAAGCTCGCCAACAGATATATCTCCTTTGTGTGCGCCTGTACTTGTACCGTACCATCGAATCTAGCAAATCTTTAGACAAAGTTTTCTTTTTCTCTTCTGTACATCTCGAACCTCAGTCTATCATCATATTCTTATTTCCTCGTATTAGTAGAGACAGTAACATTCAATATTCCTCATATGTGTGTAATGTACTGTACATAAGATCTATTTCATCGCTAGCTTCTCCCTGGGAGGAAGCAAATTACGGTTTCTGGATGTTATCAACAGAAATCCGCGCATATACCACACCAGATCAACCGCAATCTGCCAGCTAGCTGGCCGGATACTCGAAATCGAGAGGAAGGAGCGGTGTGATGCTCTCGCCGATCGTAGCATCAACAGCGCTGAGGTCGAAATCGGGATCGAAATGGGCGAACACGTCCAAGTCTGTGGGCATATTGTCAAAGACAGAGAGGTCAATGTCGTCGAAATCGAGGTCGTGAGACGTGATATTTTGGTGGTCTCTAGTGGTAGGCGGAGGAAACTGGTTATTGTTCCTGGATTGACCCTGTATCTGGGAGGCTGTTTCCGGATCGTCTGTCGTCCTCCTCTCCTGGGACGTGGAACTGTCGGCAGGAGACATTACCCCGTGTGGGTTGGTACTATCCGTTGTGGATTTTGCGGCAACCGCGGCATGTTGCTGCTGGGTTGTGTGGACTAGAGACGAGCAGACCTTGTCCATCTCCTGGACGGTCTGTTCTGCAAGGTTGGCCAATGCTGTAGCGGACCAGAAGATGTCGCCGAGTTCTCGCAGGATGGTCGAGTTGACCAACAGCTGCTTTCTAGCCCTCATCCGGAGCATAGGAGCTCGACTCAGCCTCAATTCACGATATGCGACTCGGAGGGAAAGCGAGATCGCATACGGAACGATAGGGAGGTTACATAGTTGGCCATGGAAGTCTTCGGATACAATTGACGTAGCTTTGGTAGCCGAAAGGCTCTGACGCAAGTACGAAATCGATGACTGCGGCGGTTTTTGCAGAGATTTCGTTCGGCATGACAGCATTGCTACAGAGTGATAGAGCATCTCAATCGTAGCTGTGAAAGTAAGTCAGTAAGGGACGTGATGCCAAACCTGAAACCCAGGGGCAAAAGAAAAAGGGAAAGAGGAAATTATTCTCTGTTTTACCTAGTAAACGTGACTTGACGCTCAGCGCATTAGATCTCTCTACCAGATCCTCAAATAGAGGAAAGTCCTGTTCCCAAGGAACAACAGCTTCCTTTTCCGGCCGGTAAAGACTGATAACTTTATCGAGGAGAAGGACAGTCCTCAGGAAGAGCTGGAAACAAGGCTCCTGCTCAGAGAAGCAGGTCTCGAGGTCCCTATCAAAGTCTCTCTCGTGCATCAAAACCGGTCGGCCGTGAAACGCAGCGTTGAGCCTATCCAGGGCCCAAACACAGCAAAAAAGCCGGCTCCCAGAGGCTAGAGATCCAGTATTATTGTCTTTGCTTCGCAAATGAAGTCCCGTGGTATGACAGTAACTGATTGCACTCGCCGTGAGTTCGGCAGACAGGTCACGATCATCCGCAAACTGCGTGAACAAGCCCATAAGCGAGAGGGCCTGGATGAGAACCAGTTTATCTTTGACAAGACCAAGATTCAGCGATGTGCGGATGGCGAAGACGATTTCTCGTATAAATTCAGTCCTCGACGAAAAGGAAGTCGTCTGCGAGTCGAACTTTAGGAAATCCTTGGCCATGGGCTTTGCGCTAGCTGCTAGACATATAGCTTGTCTTAGGAGAACACCGTCTGGTGAGCCTGCAGGCGTCGACTCAAATGCTCCTTGATCGATAACAGGGAATATCGGATGGATATCCTCGAGATATATCTTATATATGGATTGAAAGTCGGATTCTTCGGGCAGCAGCCGCATACAGGCGTCTTCGAGATGGGACGTAAAAAGCCTCGGGATCCCTAAGTCGGGCGCATTACCGGAACTGCTGCGAGGCTGGTCTGTCACAGACGTCGGATTTCGTTTGGTAAATTTTGCTGGTGATTTATGCGAAATCCAAACGCCAATGCTATCGGTCTCTGTAGAAGCCATAGTAGTTGTAGGACTTGTGGCTGCGAGGAAGGTTGCTTCGGGATTCAGATCTCCAACGAAGCGAGATTCATCTTCCAAAGTCCTTGCTGGACCATTTCCTTCTGAGAAGATGTTCCTACTTTGCCGTGAGCTGCGTCTTGAATCGTCTGCAGATTCAGAAAGAGGGGAAGAAGCATGATTCTCTCCTGAGCCATGCCGGGTTCTTTTGTTTGAAGTTGAGGCTGTCTCTCTAGACGTCTGTTGAGGAACTTTAGCTGATCTTTTTTTGAGGGACGATGAGGACAGGCTTTCTGAATGACGGCCGTCAGAGTCATTCTCATGATCGCAGCGTTTCTATTACTTCGGTTAGCAGGTGAAGAAAGATATCCGTATTACAGGCCAGATATCATCTATCAAATACTAATGTGTCATGATGCCTCCTGGTCCAATGCGTGAGCCTCAAGAACTGGACTTTCAGGCACAATACCAAGGGGGAAATAAGATTGTCACCCGCCCTAATAAAGCGGAACTTTCGAATTGGGCAGGGCTTAGGGCTCAAGGGTAGGATCGGAGTTCACCAGAGTGGATGCCGAAGTCATGCACAGATTAGACCCAGAAAAAGGAAATACACCACTCTGAAGCCAAGCTCACATAATGAAGGTATTGCTCACAAAAAGACTAGAATCGCATCTTATGATAAACAAAGCCAATTAAAGAGAACTGACCTTGCGTTTCCGACATCTCTCACAAGCACGTTGAGAAGCTCGGCGACTGCGGGCGTCAGAATCCGACTTGTAAGGCACGAACCTCAGCATCTGATCCTCAATGGCATTGGTTGCAGACAGATTATATTCATTCCTATTTCGTGCTGATGCAATCAATCGACTTCTCGAGACAAGAACCAATGCGCTGCTCTACGCGATACCAGATACCAGGTCGGAGAAATTCCAGAAACGGATATGCGCCGACAGATTGAAGTCCCGGGGCCGGGCTTTGTCTTGTGATTTCAGCGGTCTGGAGAATAGGATGAAAAACACAGCTTGAGAACTGGACACCCTGGTGGATATACAGACTGGAGATTGGTTACGTTGTGAGGACTTTTCTGAGTCGTTGACCTGAAAAGACACACTGACAGTGCTCGGAAGGTGATGCACAGAGCTTTTGGCGGTGTAACCTAATCAGGAAACACCGCCGGCAGGCTGGAAGTGGGGCTGAATGGCAGATCGTCACTGGTGAGCTTCATATATTCCTAAAAAGGAAATAACAACAACAACCTCCATCACGAGGTCATCGAGGTACTCTGTAAGAGAAACATATGACGAAAAAGTGAAAAAGCTCACACCAGGAGTCCACCTTCTCAGGACCCGCTGGTGCTACGAAAACCCTCACCTATGCTTTTTTGCGGGCAGGGGTTTTACAAGACTTGATTGTGCTAAGATATTTAGGGGAGGGTGGAAATGATTCTTTTTATTGGGAGTTAGAGAGATTTGAACACCCAGGCTCACTTTGTCACCCAAGTTGCTAACTGCACCATCAGACTGGGTCGTCAAAAGGACATATACCGTCGAGGAGTCCTCAATGTGTATGCAAACATCATAAACTCTGGGGCTGATGAGACAGCCAGTCACGATCATGGCATTACTCGTGAGCTCTCGGCTGAGGATTCGTCAATGTCCGCCTGGCTCTGTGCTGTCTATGTTACACGGCTATATCTTCTAACACCATATGTACAGTAGACCGTGAATTGAAGCTTTTCATCCAGATATATCTATCTGTAACAACACTGTAACAACAACTCCTACAGCGGAACATAGGTCCCATTCCTACAGTCGAATCCTAACTTTGGATTCAACTCTGCCGTCGCGTTCAAGCAGATCACCGTCGGACTCGCCAAGGTCTGAGGAAACAGTTCGATATTCTCAAACACGAAATTGTTGCAGGAAGTGTTGGTGTTGCATTCCAGAATAATCACCTCTGTATGGGTCAGGTTTGGTAATCCAACATTGTACCAGCACGGGTCCGACACGCAAGACCCATCGCCAGGCTGGAAGGTGTTGATTGTGCCGGTGAAGTTCGCCCAGGTAAAATCTTGCATGACTACGCTGGAGTTGTTTGGGCGACCGGTGACGCTGCCGCTTTCCAGCTGGGTCTGGTTCGAGCCTTGGTTTGTGTACGTCTGGGTGACGAAGATTGGGAACGTGACGTTGTAGGTTCTGATGTTCGACCACGTAATGTTCTTCGCCAGACCCTGTCCACCTTCCCACGACTTGAAACGCGCGGCATAGACAGCGTCAACCACAGTGACATCGTCGAAAGTCACGTTGGAGACGTTGGCAAAGGACGCTTGATTTTGGCCGAGCGATCCAATACTCATTCCATGACTCTGATACCCAATGGTCCCTCCCCGGAAAAGAATGTTATGCGAGCCCGATTGGACCGCGATCGCGTCGTCGCCGTTGAAAATGAGGCTATTTAGGATCTGGATGTTGGTCCCTGTCACGTCAAAGCCATCAGTGTTGAACGGGAAGCTCCCTGTTGTCGAGTACGCATCAATGATCGCATCTGTAACCACGATATTGTCTCCAACGAGCTGGACGTTCCAGGCGATGGGCTTTCGTGACTTGTAGCGCTGTAGACTTCCGTCGGTGGTGTTGAAGCTCATGAGATGCGGGCGAGAGGGAGCGCCTGTGCCGTTGACCGGATTGGAGTCCCACCAAGCCTGCCCATAAGAGTAGATCCAGCCATTGCTGACATTGTTTGAGCCAATGTAGTCGATCTGCGGTCCGGCAAAGGAAAACCAGTACAGGCTTGTCGAATACGTGAGAGCATTTGACTGGTTGACGAGGGCCTGGATTGCCGTGATGTTCTGTGGAAGATGGAGGTTTCCGTTCATCTGGATTTCCACGTTGCTCAGGTTTTTCGCCGATATGGGATGGAAGACATTATAGTCGACGCCTTCTTTGAAGATCACGACGGCATCTCTTGAGCATTTGGCGAAAGCTTGCTGAATGGCGGGAGAGTCATCGGCCGTCCCGTTTGAGGAGACATATTGGGAATCAATGGTACATTTTTGGGTCCGAGGAGGCCGCTTTTTTTGTTGGAACGCCTAACACTGACGATGGAAACGACAATAGAGATAGATACAGGAAGAATGCTGCCTGCAGACGCATGCTGAACAGCAAGCTGCTGTAATCAAAAAGAAGAGTATGCCACGTCCTAGGAAGAAGAGATTGTATCTACTCCCTTACAACGATGGTGCCAAATGAAGCACCAGGAGAAACCCTCTTCAATTTACATCCCTTCGGCCCTCAATCACAAATTTTATGCTTATATAGTATGATAGTACCCCGCTAGATACCTTTGATTGAGCAGGGGAATCTGATCCTGCAATCCATGGCATCCAAAAACGGTAATAAATAAGCCGAAGACATTTCCGAGCCCCTTGTACTCCGTATCGTCAGTGGAGAAAACCTGCTTGTTTTGCGGGGAAATTCGATAGGTGTGGGGAAGCTCAAGCCACAGCATTAGCTAGATACAAGGCTGAACTATACTGTGTACTATCATGAAGACTATCTTGGGCTAAGGCCATTGGTGGAATTACAATTTCCCAGGACGTTAGTTAGCTAGGTAGAAATGTAAACATGTACTGCACCACCCCGACATGGAGAACCATCTACAATATTGTGCAATGAAATTCTTTTTATCATTAAAATTGCTGCTCATGCATGTCTAAATTGATAGTCTGTCACGTCCTCAGACTGAATGGATCACTCCGCCAGAATCTGGTGGGCTGATTGCTGAAACTCACGAGACTCGGGTATCGTAGAGCTGTGATCAAGAATTCCAGAGTCTCTGTTTTTTTTTCTACTAATAGAATATGTATTCCCCTCACATCTCCTTGTCGACTTCCCTCTTCCATGCCTTGTCAATCTCCTTCTCCGCATCATACCCAAAACACCATATCTGGGTGGCTGGATCGCTCCATTGGTTTGGGCTATGAGAAAAGGGACGGCCCTCAACTTCCGGCAGCATGGCGGCATCCCGAGCCTGTTGCAACGGCCCGTCAGGGAAATGCCAGAGACGACTGTTGAGAAGGCTGGCCTCCTGCATCTGGCTAGCGCGTTCTAAGCGCACTTTCTCGAATATTGATAGCGCAAGTGGCATTTGGTCTTTTGAACTGATTTTGGATAGGACTCGTGCGAGAGCGACGCCGTCTTCGACTGCGATTGCGGCACCTGAAATCATCGCCAAGGTCAGGATCTCTCTAATCAAGAGGACTGGAAAGTGGATGAAATGCGATCCAGGAATGCAAACCTTGCGACATATACGGGAGCATTGCATGAGCAGCATCCCCGAGTATAACAAGTTTCCCAGATACCCAGCGCTCCAAAATTGACCCGCTGAAAAGGGGCCATTTCAAGGTCTTGTCGATCATGTGGATGATCTTGGTTAGTCTGCCAGAACTGTCAGCAAGCATTGGGACGAGGCCTTCAGATTGGACGGAAAAACTGACGTGGGATCCCAGCCTTCAAACTCCTTCCTCATATTATCCAAAGCTTCATCTTGATTCCAGGTTTCCGGATCGGTATCATCAGGATGCGAAAGAACCATGTTGAACGACTTTCCAGCTCCGATCGTATATGTCATGACATGCCGAGCGTCTCCAAGCCTAGACCACCATCCCAGTCAGGGGATATGTAGGATCGCGCATTGCTGGTATCCTATACGCACCATAGGTTGAATGCAGGCTTCTCCAGCAACCAAGATGTTTCAGGGTCAGCCTTTATGCGGTCAATGTCTACCACGGCTCGGTAGACTGCAAACCCGGTTCGCTGGGGCGGCTTGTCAGCGCCCCCTAGGACTCCTTTTCGAGCCGTAGATTTGACTCCTAAAAATCCCAACTTAGATATGAACCGGTATGACAGGATGGGATGTATATACCATCAGCGGCCACGACCAAGTCTGCAGTGACTTTCGATCCATCTTGCAGAGTAATGCTGGGAGCATCCACATCATAGTCGACCACTCTGGACGCTAGTTTGACGGTCACTCCAAGATCGACCGCCAGCCTGTACATGGCATCGTGGAAATCAGCCCTGTGAATGACGTAGTACGGCGCACCGTACTGTTGGCGACAGTCCGGGATCAATCGGGTGTGTCCAATGACTTTGCCATTTTGCCAGCGTCGCATGAGGACGCTCGCTGGTTCCGTCACGTATTTCTGCAGGTAAGGTTCGAGGCCGAGTTTTGCCAGCAGTCGGCTGGAATTGGGGGGAATCTGGATGCCAGCTCCTACCTACAGATTGTTAGCCACACACAGCATTCAGCCCAGGTCAGATATCCCAGTCCATGCATGCCTCAGCCAGCCTTTCTGTCTGTTCATAAACTGTTACATGGTGATTGTTGCGTGCCAGCGCGATGGCCGTAGCAAGGCCTCCCAGTCCAGCACCAACGACGATGATGTTCAGAGGCGTAGAACTGCTGGTGGAGCCATCTACGTGATCCGCGGAACTTTGATAACACGCAGATGTCAAAAATCGCAGGCAATTGCTGGGGTAAGACGGGGTCTGGTGGGATCAACAAGCCTGGTCAGTAGGCATCCTGCAGATCCCTAAGATACAACTCTTATCACCCAAGCCAGGGCTAACCTTGAACTCCGCATGGACATCCTTGATGGCGCCATACGCCACACTCATACTGCCTAGAACAGGACACGGCCTACAAGGCGCGTTCAGCCTCTTAGGGGATGGAACTGCGAGGGCGCGGAGAGCTCCTCTTCGCTGCGCGTCTATTAATTATTGTTGATGCTGATCTGATTAGTTATTCACTTTTGCGGGATTCGTCAGGAAGGAGACACCGTCGAAGGCATTGTTATTATTATCTGGCATTATCAACTCGCTTGTTAGATGCGTTTTTTTTTTCTTTTTCAAATTCAGTCCCAAAATGGAAGGTCTGCTCGCAGCAACGCCAATGACGAGGCCGTGGCAGCGGTGCGTGTGCATAAGAGCGAGACTCCCCGCACGCACTATTGAGTCCTGAGACGCGGTCGAAGTTTACCAGAGACATCCAGACGGCACCAAATCATATCTCTCCGACCTGAACCTCGATTTGCTCGCGGTGGACCGTCCCACAGCCGCGAACGGAAAATAGAACCTCTCGAGATGCAGCTAAGAGAGTTTCTGGTGCAGCCCACATCCAGCTGCCGAGTTGCCACAAGGTGGAGTCTATGCGGCATATTTGCATTAGGTACCTATACCTGGGTATAATTGTCCTTGTCCATGATTGCCAGATATGCTCAGTTTCCATTAGGGTTCCACGGGTCTTCGTCCATGGTCTCGGGAAGAGGACTAATTAGAGGCCATGCAGGAACGCACAAGAACCACCCCAGACCGAGTCAAACAAAGGTGGTGCCGATTTGATGGCCGAGATCAGAATAATCAAGTCCAAAGTTTATGATTGTGTCAATCGGAGTCTTGAGATGGACCCTGTATCGATATCGAATGCTATTATTATGCAAGATCCAGATCTCCCTTGTATTTGAATCTGAGTACATCCCACCGTCGTTGGATCACTTGCCAGATCCTCACTTGGTTGCCATACTGTTCTCCTCGAAGCAGTATCCGTAGTCATCATGGCTACGGCGCCATTAGCCATCGGTGGCTACGGCCCTACTCTCCTGGCGGTCCTTTGGGTGGAATTCTTCGTCGCGTTCGCCCTCCTGCTGGCACGGATATACACGACATGGAGGATCACTAGGCGCGTCCGCTTGGATCTATATCTGACCCTGCTGACCTTTGTACGTATGGCCATCACTTTAGTGAACCCGGGGAATCCAGGCTGACTCGCTCAATCAGGCCATCGCAACGGCCAGCGCCGTGTTCCTCACTCTCAGCATCTCATACGGGCTAGGGCAACATATCGAAAACCTCACAGAGGAAGGAATTGTCGCAACAATCAAATGGAGCTGGGTAAATCAGGTGCTGGCCATTTTCGCCATCGGCCTGGGGAAATTGGCCATCGTCGCATTTCTCCAGCAAATCCACGGCCCCGAAGGCCGTGGGAAGATCATTGCTTTGTGGGCCTTGGCAGCCAGCAATTTTGTGATCAATGCCATCACTGTCGGGATGGTCTTGTCCCAGTGCACTCCATTGCAAAAACTCTGGGATGAGAGCCTTCCGGGAACTTGTGATGGTCGCCGGCGAAACCAGAATTGTGCCTACTTTCAGGGAAGTAAGTGTGTTCTGCTACCTCTCGCGATGGAGACGGCTATCCCCGGGCTGACATGAGTAGGTTGGTCCGCCTTCTGCGATCTCGTTCTCGCGCTATACCCGATAGCCTTCTTCTGGAAAGTGCAGCTCAAACTCAGCGTGAAGGCTGGTCTGTGCTGCCTGATGGGGCTCGGTGTCATGTAAGGGGACCCAGTTGAGAAAAATGCCATGTGGTTTTCCTTGCTAACCCATGAACAGTGCCTGCGTTTGCTCCATCATCAAGACGACGGAGCTTCGGGTGCTTTCACGAACGCAGGATGTCACCTGTAAGTTTCGCGGCTGCTAATTGGAAAACCCAGATGTCGCAGATTGCTAACGGTGGCGCAGACTGGATTTCCCAGCTCATTACCTGGAATGAGTATGGCAGCGGTCCCTGAGGCAATACTGATGATTCGAGAAATTCACGACTAACTGGTTCTGGAACAGGACGGAAATGTGGGTCATCCTGATTGTTGGATGCATTCCTCCCATCCGCCCTCTGTTCATTGCGCTGTTTCGCAAGGTCGTGTCCAGCGCGCGATCGCTATCGGGACCCGAGAAGTATAATCGCTCCGGCACCGAGCTACGATACTTCTCCCATGCGTCGCGACACTCGCGCCAGCCCGTGCAATCCCAACGATCGCGCGGCACGGAGCTGGGCAGCATGGCGAACGACCACGAGAGTGAGGAGAACATCCTGGCCATGGAAGGAGGGGCCATCGTGAAGACCACCAACATCAGCCTGACCTATGAGGGGTCGACGACGGCATCGAGAGAGCCGGTCGACCAGGGAATCTAGGGAGGGCGGGCCTGTCAGCAGGCTCGCCGAGAGCCACCGCGATGCGTCTGATGAGCCGATTGAGGAGCGAGATCGCGCATTCGGGGGTCCTTGGGTACTCTGTATACTCTGTATAGTAACTCGAGTTAGCAGGACGGGTCGAGAGGAGCACAGGCCTGTCTCTTACGTATGGGTAATGAATATAGACGACGCACATTGGCTGGTCTGGGAATCTAAGTTTGTCACGGTTCTGCGTGTCAGTATCGGCGACTCGGCGATGCCTCGAAAAGGCAGATAGGGAACGCGGTTTTAGCGCGGCTGGAGTGGAGTAGTGAGAGTCACTAGAGTCACTTCTCATCATTAGCGAGCTCGTTCATTTCCGAGACGCCGCCAGTGGCGCCATCAAGCTTTTGCACCGACCACCGGTCCACCGCAGCCTGCCTCGTTCTCCACTGCGTCGATCATGAAAATTTTGTGGGGAGTCGCGAGGCTCGTACGGACAAATGCCAGCTGCAGAGCAGCGCAGGTGCCTCAGAGCGCCAATGTCACTGCTCGAGAGGGACGCGCATGGACGATGGACCGGACCGTCCGCAGCAAGAGATGGGAATCGAAACACGAGCAGAGTTGCGCACGCGGCTCGCTGACTCGGGCGCTGACGTCGAGCACAGCCAGAGAGCCCTGGAAGGCCAGCGATAAACTTTGCGTGTCTGACACTGGCACAAGATCCCAAGCGCACGAAGACCGTGATGCTGAGATCGTGCCTCGATTGGCTCTGGCGATAGTTTGGCCATGTGGCTGCGCGACGACCTGCCCAGCGAGGTATCGCAGGCATTGCATCGCTTAATTGCCTCAAAGCATACCAGGCAAAGCCTCTGCAGGAACCTCGCTTCCTTGCCTGTTCTCAGCCTCACGGAACCAATGGCACATGCCCAGCCAGCCCCCAGCAGGACTGCTCTGGCTGTCTGCGAAAATGCCACACCGGGCCTGCCTAACGCCACAGGCGACGAACCTGAGTCTGGAATGAGCCTGATATCGCTCTTTGAAGCCAAGAATCGACGATTCAAATCTTAGCGACTCCAAAGGGCAGCTGCCGTGGCTTCTGTTGCCGACTCCATCCCCAGGCCTCGTGGCTGTCGCCCCATCCGGAGGCTCTGTCGACCTTTAACTATCCAGGGGTGCGCTCCTCTCCGCGTCTTCCCAGAAGAGCATTGATTGTCGGGGCCCTCGTCCACCTCTACGTTGCTATCCACCGACCCTGTTCAACTTTCTCCAGACAGTATACAAGCCCCTGGTGTCATGCCGGAGGAGTCGAACGTCCACGATGGGCCTGGTGGTCCCAGGCAACCTGCAGTTCCTGGCCATGTTGACCTTGTGCCAGGCACGGAGGTGTTGCTCGATGGAGGCGATGCTCACCTGAAACGTGGCAAGGAGAGCGATACTGTGTAGGTGTTTGTTCTTCTACTGATCATGGATCATGGCCAAAAGAATTGACAACCTCCAGGCTCATTCCGCAGCCTTCGAGTAACCCGGACGACCCTCTGAACTGGGCGCCTATCTGGAAATGTTGGTAACCGGGTTGCGTTCTCAGAATCTGGGATAGATGCTGACGATGGATGCAGATCTCGTAATCACGACCCAGTTTCTCTATACGTTCGTTACCGTCGAGTCTGCTCTGTCGCTGGCCCCAATGTTCCCGCTGCTCCAAAAGGAGTGGGATCTCAATGAGACTCAGCTCAGTTTGCTCACGGGAGCGTGCGTCCTGGCCCTGGGGTACGCGAATTTTATTATCGTTCCTTTCTCCAACATATTCGGCCGGAGACTGGCCAGTCTGTCGCTCGGTATTCTCGTCATCTTGACCGAACTCTGGGAGGCTTTGGCGACCTCGCACAAAAGCTTTCTTGCCGCTCGCGTTGTGAACGGGCTCACGACCGCGACAGCGGAGAGTTTGATGGTGCAAGTCATTGCTGACATATTTTTCCTTCACGAACGTGGCCTGTGGACGGGTATCTACTTGTAAGAACATCGAATCTCGAATTCTGATGGATTCTGGGCTAAGCATCACTCGAACAGCACTTCCTACTTCTTTGGATTATTCTTGGGTCCTGTCATTGCCGGAAACATCGCCGAGAGGTACGAGTGCCCCCCCCCCCCCCCCCTCCCCTATGGGGTCGTTCACGGCATCTGAGCTAACTGAAATATGTGTAGACATGGATGGCGAAGCTTCTTCTGGCTCTCTCTCGCTCTCTCCGTATTTAATTTTCTTACGATTCTCGTCTTCTTCCCCGAAACCAAGTATCGACGCTCCGCAAGCCACATTGGGGGCAAAGCGGAACCTGTGGATGCGTCCGTCACTGCCAATGGGGAAAAGAACGGTGTCGACGAAAACGCGCTAGCAAACAACGGCAGCGAACCAGACGTCAATTCCCAGTATGGCAAGGGACGGCCCTCCAAGAGCCAGTTTATGCTGTTCCAGAAGCCAGATCCACGGTGGAAAGGCTTCCTGGTTCGCGACGTCCTGTCACCCTTCCGTGTCTTCTTCTATCCAATCATCTTTTGGGCGGGCCTGAACGTCGCTGGTCCTGCCAACCTCCTGCTCTTCTGGAACCTGACCGAGTCTGCCGTCCTGGCTGCTCCGCCCTACAATTTCTCTGCATCAGCGGTCGGCTATAGCAACTTTGCCTTTTTCGTTGGCGGAGCGATCGGGCTGCTGACGGCCGGGCCATTCTCCGACTGGGTTGCCAATCGAGCCACGCGCAGGAACAATGGCATTCGGGAGGCGGAGATGCGTCTGCCCGCGTTGATCCCGTTCTTTGTCACCACCCTCGTTGGCATCATCATTGGCGGTCTGGGGTACCAGCGACAGTGGTCCTGGCCGGTCATTCTCGTCTTTGGCTACGGACTCACGGGCCTCAGCGTGACCACGATCCCGACGATCGCCATCGCCTATGCGGTCGATTGCTACAAGCCCATTTCCGGTGAGATCATGGTGGTGGCCACCGTCCTGAAGAACACGTGTGGGTTCGGCATGAGCTACTGGGTCGCGCCGTTGGCGGCGCGCGAGGGATACATTTCGCCGGCGATGGTCGAGTTCGCCCTCACGATCGGACCGGTTCTGCTCGCCGTGCCGCTGTACTTCTTTGGAAAGAGGCTTCGTGTCATGACCCGGAACTCGAGTGTGCATCAGTGGTCAGAGATCTAGACTTTGATCTGGTGGATTGAAAGAGATGTGTCGGAGGACCGCAAACTACACGTACACTACGACTTCTCTGATACGTGGTTTCACGTCAATGCTTGTATATATAGAAACATTGGCTATCTAAGTATACATAATGTATATGTCTAATGTAAACTTTTTTTTTGAAGACGGTAACACACCACCACACCACCCCACTATATAGATAGAGACAATCTCATAGCTTGCGACCACCTAACTCCCGATTAGTACCTCCTGCAAAGAGTAGTGCAAAGAGTAGATAAGTACAGAGTAGTCTGCCATAGATCCATTAAAGAGCTATTATTACATTATTAAGTTATCATTCATTATAGCTTTGACTTCCCAGCGCCCTGAATATATAAAAAAATCATCCTATTCCAACTACTACCTATGTATAAAGCTAATTAATAGTAGTTAGTTAATTAATAATTAGTCAATCAATCAACCATCTGTGACAGGATAAGTAGTATATATAGGGTAGATTTGATATTAATTATTAGCCCTAATGAAGAACTGAATTTGTAGGAAGGAACTTACAACAGAAACGATAATCAACAGTCTACATTCATTTCGTCCCCTTCTTCTTATTCAACGGGATTTCATCGACTCGACACTTCTCTCATTCTATTTCATGTCGTCGTGTCTCTCGGGACTTCCCTATCTGTGCTAAAGGGATATGCTACCGACTGGAATCCAAGTGTCACAGACAGATCGGATCGTCCAGGATATCCAGTTTATTAAATTACTATATACAGAAATGCAGGGATGCTAGAAAGATACCGTCTAGACGGGAATTTTCTCTACTTATGTTAAGGTGCAATGCTGTCGACGTGCACGTCTCCAAGTCGATTTCGTTCTGAATGACTGCATTTCGCCATGTCATCTATAATGTCCAATCTATGTCCATTTCGAATTTGTATATTAACCCTCTCGATTAGGATACTTCGTCCTCAAAAAAAGGTATCGTTATACTAGGTGGATGAAAAAGAAACAAAACAAAAGGTCATGTGCAGCCAATGCAGCATGGCGGAGGGGTGTTTCAAACCCTCCCTAGTGCTTTGCGGTGACTTTCTCGCCGGTGAGCTTTTCAACTGCGTCCTTGGCCCTGTTGATTGACTGGTTAGCACGAGTATTCAAAAGGGGAAACTCGAGAATGAGAGAATGAGTTTGCAGAAAAATGTCGGTTGGAGAGCTTACATGTCACCAAGAGCCACCATGCACACCGTCTGCCACATGCCCAGGCCGATACGAGGAGTGACTCCCCGGTACAGGCCCTTGATACCGTTGGTCTCGTAGATGTACTTGAAGGTCTTGCCGACGGTCAGGTTCTTGGGCCGGTTCGGGTCTTCCTTCTTGCTCTGCATTTCGACGCGGATAACCTCAATGGGCTGGTTCCAAGCGGACAGACCACCTCCGAGACCGGACGCGAGGATCTTCTCGAATGCGTTGAGCTTCTGACCATCCTCCTTGTTGGTGATCTTGCGAATAACAGTTTCCGCCAGTCGTGACAGACCGAAGCGGGAACCCCAGTTGGTGGTCTGGCGGATAGCGACCGCGTTGACACCTCTGTTGATACCGCGGATACCTTCTCGGCGGTAGATGTCCATGAACGTCTGATAGGTGCTCGGGGGCTTCTGACCCGCGGCGGCCATCTTGTGCTTGGTGATCTCGACCGTCTTCATGCATGTACAGAACCCGACCGTGGCGTACGCCTGCGCGACACCACCCGTCATACCGCCTGTAATTCCAGCGACAAAGTCGGATGCACCGAACAACTTGGCATAGTATTCCGCCTCGGACGCGACGAACAGCAGGACAGCACCTTTGGTGGAAGCCTCAATCCAGGCCCAGGGAATGAGACCTTGGTAATCTAATAACAACGATCCATTGTCAGCCACACAGGTCGCAGATTCAGCAAACCATCACTGGATATCTTACAGCCGAGAATCCCGCCACGGCCCCAAATCCGACGCATGGCACCGGCGAAACTATCGGAACGGTTGGCGGCCATGGTCGTCTTGATCACTTCCAGCGGCTGCAAGTCATCAATTAGAAAAATGAACAGCGACAATTACGGGGATTCGACGGGCTGTACCTGTCCCAGCGTGGTGACCCTGCATTTGTTCATTAGCTTCGATTCTATACCACAAGGCGAACGAGCGAAAAGGAGGATGGGTTCCAACTTACTCGAACATGTTCAACGCCGCGCCAACTGTAGTAAAAACACAGAGTCAGAAGACATCCTCCCACCCGCAAGAACCCCGTCGTTCTTTGCTTTTCTGGAATATGGTGGCGGTTTCACTCACGCAGCAGGTTGCTGAACTTGACAGGCTTCTTCTCGATCTTGCGAGGGCCGGAGACTTCAGCGGACATCTCTGGACTGGGAACGCTGAAAGGGGCCCTGACCAAGAGATAGAGGGGGCTTCGTCGCCTAAGGGATTGGAAACTGAGGAAAAGGGAAAGCTATGAACGCAGCAACAACCAGCAAGGCGGCTGTCAGTCGAGTTCCGATGTCGGTGAATCGAAGCTGGAAAGGGGTGGGCGAGGGAGGCAGAGAGCAGGAAAATCCTCGAGCACGACGAGGTCACGCAGTCAGGCTGGATCTGTTAGTCTGCAGAGGGATTGACGACTGGAGAGGTTAATTAGATCACACGGAGCTGAGAAAACAAGCCGAGGCGAGAGGAACAGCAGTAAGAATAAACAGACGAGCGACCGCGGCATCCGCAGCACTGGGGCTGGGAGTCGGGCTTTCTGGTGTTTGGGGGGCGGCCCGCGGCCCCGGACAGCCCACCGGGCAAGGGGACAGTAAGGACTCCCGTTGGCTCCCGCCAGGCAGGGCAGCGAGCAGCCACAGCTCCCGCCACACTAGGCCGCTTCGGGCCCAACGGTGAGCCCGCTCCCTCTTCGGGCTCCGTTGACTGTCCCCAACAGATCCGAGCGCAGGGTGTGCCGCAATGTTGAGACGCGACAGGCTTACAAGTCAACTGTTACGCGGGCACTCGTGTGTTCGCTGTACTGCAATCGACAGGCATTGTCACCGTCTGCATGTCCTGCAGACTCGACTGTGATCGCCGACGCGTGTTTTCCGTTCCCCGACGGCGTCACATGCCAATTCAATTACCGATCCGACGCTTCTCGGACGTTCGGAAAACAACTCTCGGTCGCTATAGCCGCCGAAACAGCGCAGCCAGAAGAATTGCAATAACAATACCGAGGAGTCAGAAAAAATAAGAAGGAATAAGGATTTTGTACCGTCGGAGATCCATTCCCATTATATAAATGACATGATCAAACAAAGTCTAAGATCCCACCCTATCTTGGTCTAACAAGAGCAAGAAACAGAATTATACACGGGCCCATCGGCCGCTCCGTCATCCACGTACAGTCTATAGCTGTTCACATCCTGTGCAATCCCTCTAAGCCCTTCTGCCTCCATCGAGCGTCACTTCTCACAGCTCAGCGCCAACGAGCTTAGCGTATGCCTCGGTGCTGAAGCTCTTCGGCCGCTCGATCGGGGCGCCCAGAGCGCGGTCGATGATCAGCTGCGGCAGAACACCCAGAGCACGGGACACACCGAAGAGCACGGTGTAGTAGCTGGCTTCAGTCAGGCCGTAGTACTGCAGCAAGACACCAGAGTGCTGCATCCGTTGTTAGCACACAGATCATCCAATGCGGTCGAATGAGCCGGGCGCAACTTACAGCGTCCACGTTGGGGTACGGGTTCTTGGTCTTGCCGTGCTCAGTCAGCACACCAGGAGCAATCTTGTACACCTGGCTGACCAGCTTGAACATGGGGTCGTCCGGCAGGTGGCGGAGGGCGAATTCACGCTGGCACACGTAACGAGGGTCCGTCTTACGCAAGACGGCGTGGCCGTAGCCGGGAACAACCTGGCCTGCGTTCAGCGTAGACCACAAGTAGTCCCTGATGGCCTCGTCGCTGAGGTCGTTGCCAATGGTCTTCTTCATCTTCTGCAGCCAGACAAGCACCTCCTGGTTCGCCCTACAGAGTGAAAACAGCAACGGTCAGTATGACCCCGAGACTCAAGGATAGCAGTGGCAGGGGAGAAGACATACAATCCGTGCAGAGGACCAGCCAGACCGTTGAGACCGGCAGCGAAAGAGAGGTAAGGAGAGCTCAGAGCGCTACCAACCAGGTGGGTGGTGTGAGCGCTGACGTTACCACCCTCGTGGTCAGAGTGGATGGTCAGGTACAGGCGCATCAGCTCGACGAAGTCCTTGTTGTCGCCAAAGCCGAGCTGGTTGGCAAGGTTGAAGGCGTAGTCCTTGTCCTTCTGGACAGGCGCCACCTTGCCGTCCTTGAAGACATTGCGGTAGATACGGGCCGCAATGGTGGGCAGCTTGGCGATGAGGTCCATCGAATCCTCGAAAGTGTACAGCCAGTAGTCCTTCTTGTTGATACCCTTCGCATACGCCTTGGCGAACGAGGACTCGTGCTCAAGGGCAGTCACAGCCAGGGAGAACTGAGCCATGGGGTGCAGGTCATTGGGGCAGCGGTCAATGAGCTCCTCAACGTACTTGGGAACGTCGGACCGAGCAGCCCATTCAGCAGAGAGGTCGCGAACCTGCTGCTCGCTGGGGATCTCGCCCGTCAGCAGCAGCCAGAAGAGACCTGTTCATGGGTTAGCTGTCCATCTCGGCAAGAGGGTGTTTTCCAAGTTGGCCTACCTTCGGGCAGAGGCTCCTCTCCACCAGGAGCCTTGGGAAGAAGCTTCTGGCATTCCGGAATCTGTGAACTGTGTCAGCGGACCTGACTCGGCAAATCTCCCCTTGTTTTACCCACCGTCTTGCCTCTGAAGCGAATACCCTCCTCAGGGTCCAGGACGGAACCCTATGCGACTGATTAGCACCCGCATCGTTTGCGACTTGCATGGACACTGTTTCCACCTACTTCCCAGACGAGCGACTTGACGCCACGAGCACCGCCGTAGACCTGGTCGAGCGTGACCTCACCGATGACCTTGGAGCCGTGCTCTCTGCCAGCAAGGTCATGGATGTTAGCGACTGCCATATCAAGAGCTTAGCGAACGGGGGGGGTGGCCGCAACATACTTCCGGAGCTTCTTCACCTTCTCGATCTCACCAGGCAGCTTCTCGGCGAACGTCTCCTTGAGGGACTAGACAACTCAAGGTCAGTGGACGGTTCGGAAAACTCAAAGGTTCATGGAACGGTTATCGCATACCTTAGCCTTGGCAGAAGAGTAGCAGCGCAGGCCATTGAAGGCCGCGGACTGCACGACAGGCTTCTTAACCAGAGTAGAGCGGAAAGCGGAGCTCGACAGTCTCAGAGTCGAGGCCATGGTGGACGAGAGATGTGATTGACTGAAGAAAAAGCTTCGGGCAGGTAAGGGGAGAAAGGGAGTTAAATCTACAAGGCTAAGCAAAGGAAGACTGCGTGAGAAGGAAGAGGTGAGGGTTGGGGAGGAACTTGTTGCCCTTTTTCTTCTCTGGCGGTAACTTTTTTGGGGAGTATGGACAATACGGCTGACAGGTTGCAGGATAGGCTGGATTGGCTGCCGCAGAGGTCAAGTGCCGTATGGTATTGTAACACGGCTGCCAGTTCCTCCCTCGTCCCGGTTTACCGAGCAACGCTGGGTGAATTGCCCTGTACGGAGTGCTGGCGTACGGACAGACGGGACTTCGGAGTCCGGACAATCTAAATCCATGGTAGGATTCTCATTGGATCTCGATTATCCCGACGATGCTACCGGTGAGATATTTCCACGTTGCTACTTCGGCTACTTGCTATATAAATTTTTACGGTTATATTATTGTTATTCTGTTGTTGCCAAGAGCCTTAAAGGGCTGGGCTCTGCAAGGATTGTGTTTGTGTCGCTCGAGGATAAGAGCTTCAATCCGCAGGCAGTAGCAGTAGTAGTGATATCGATGGCGACAGATCTATTCCGGATACTGATTGATTGTATCACAAATGCCACCAGTGACGTCGTTTTCTACGTCTTTGTGGCCACTTCGTCTTGTGACGATGCTAGCATCATCTAATTTTATTTTGGAGATACACTTTATTAGAATTATCGAGGATGAGCAAAGATGAAATTATGAATAGTCTCGCAGTTTCTGTTTCTTAGAAGACCCGCACTAATATAAAAAGCCAAGAGATGAAGTGCCCTGAGGTCGCAGGAACGTTCCTCTCCGTTTGTTAATTTGGCCCGAAAACGACGGGTATCTTCCGTAGTGGCGGAAGTTTTTATGCCTGAGGCCTCAGGCAGAAATGAGTCCATCCTGCTGACGTAACCGTATCACCTGATCGTCTATTCCCGTTAGGGGTTAGCGCTGGCCACGATGTCTTTTCTCGTGAAACCAACCTCCCGGCGTCGTCGAGTCTTCTCTTTCACTTCTCTTCCACCAACCTCCATCCTCCCTTCATCCTCCCTTTCATTTCCATCTAACGGGTCGCTCGTACACCGTAAACTAGTCTTTTCTGAACCGCTGTCTTCTCACCGGTGTCCGTGAGATTGTACCTGTACTCAGATTCGCCAAGCGCGATACCCTGGATACCATCCCTAGGCTAAATTTGCTAGCAGTAGGTGGGAGGTCCTGGTCGCATAAGGGGCGGTCGTGGAGTCCGTAGTGACTCGACCACAAGAGTCAGGTCCAGAAGTTCCTGTTCCTTGCAGGGTAACACTACTTCTTCACTCTCTTCAACTAGACCTTGGATTCTCTTCACCCTACTTTGTTCGTTCTCGCCTGAGATCGCCAGTAGACCCGACCTGCGGACCCGGTATTATCAACATCATTCTATCTGTTCCTGAAGAAGCGAAGATTTTTTTCATCCGTCAATAGTTCGGTTTATCCATCCTTTCTAGCGTTGGTGTCTACTTGACCCACAAAGGCAGTCATGTCTTCTGCTGTAGCAGAGCTGGACAGCTATCTCCAGTCCATGCTGGCCCTGAAGCCTCCGGGTGTGTCAGGTTCTAAGATCAACAGCATCACTCAACTCTGTACGGCCAATGTTCAGGTATGTCTTATGTCGGGTCGATGGACAAGTCTGCCGAATCATCTCACTAACCTTCTTACTGCAGTCCGAATCTGTCCTCATTCAGAAGATCTACACGCACTTCAAGAGAGCTCCGGGAACACACAAGCTGGGCGTACTCTATGTCGTAGACTCTGTAACTCGACAATGGGTAGAAGCAGCACGAAAAGCAGGCCAACCCTCTGGGAGCGCCGCTCCTGATGGGACCTTCGCTGCTGGGGTCAACAGAGTGACAGAACTCTTGCCCGTCCTGATGACAGATATCATAAACAACGCTCCTGAAGATCAAAAGGTACGCTCTAGACGAAAATACAAGCATAATATGTGTCTTATCGCACAAGCCTCCTGCGGGTTGAGAGCAAAAATAAAGGCCGATGCAGACGCTATTGGCGTTCTGAGAGCCTCACGAGGCCATAAGATCGGACCTGTGTATTTCCCGCTATATACCCGATATCGTCCACCTTAAGATGGCATTTTTGATTCTTAAACTCACTTCTTTGCCCTACCGTGTGACCGAATAGTTGAACTTACGTATTTGTTTTGCGTGAATATAGGAGAAGATCAAGAAGCTGGTCGACATCTGGGAGCGTGGATGCACGTTTCCTGCACCCATGCTTGCTTCTTTCAAGGAGAAACTAAACGCACCGCCATCTAAAAGTAAGCAGATCCCCTTGTTCTTGTTCTCCTTCCTCTCCATGAGGAATCTTTGTCCCGACATAGTTTTCCGAAGGAGAGGAAGTTATTCCTGGTTTGATGCGTTTGGAAGCCAAATTCTGATGTTTTTTTACTTCCCTTTATAGACGTTGAGTCTACTACACCAGAAGGATCCCCGGCTCCAAATTACATTCCCCTTGGAGCTTCACAACCGCAACAGCAGAACGGCACGGCCGCAACAACAACGACAACAACAGCAACCACTTCTGCGGCGCCCGCTCAGGCTGCGCCAGACACGTCCAGCATTTTGAAAGCTCTGGCAGACATGGCGAAGCAGAACACCGCAGCTCCTGCAGCGCCTAGTGTTCCTGCGCAGACTAGCCCTCTTAATGTATTAAACGCGCAGAATGCAGTCCCGCAACCCGTGTCCTCGTCCGTAGACCAGGCTTCTCAACCAGCGAGCGGGCAGGCTGCTGTAAACCCATTCGCGAACCCCTTTGCGGCCCTGGGTAATCTTGCGCAAAATCAAAGCATGGTCCCTCAGAGTCAAAGCCAGACATCCAACCCAATTCCTGCTACTCAGCAAAATCCTTTAGCTGCGTTGTTGCCACAAGCAGCTGCGGCTCCTGCGATCTCGCCCGAGGCATTGCAACAGATTCAGCTGCTTCAGTTGCTCGCCGCGCAAGGTATCCCGCAGGAGCAGTGGGCGACAGCTCTCCAAATCCTAAGCCTCACCAACAGCGCTAATGCTGGTATGGCCAACATGAACGCCGCTCAGACTGGTTATAACATGCAAACTGCAACCAGTCAGCCATCCTGGCCAGGCCGTACTGATGCAGCATCACGTGATTCTGACCGGGACCGCGAGAAGGACCGCGAGTACATGCGATCCCCCCCAGGCCAGTATCGTCGCCGCTCGCGTTCTCCCGACTGGGATCGACGTCGTGATGTTTCTCCTCCCCGTCGTCGCGATAGCCCTGTGTATGGCGAGTATCATGGAGACTCCCCTAGCCGGAGGGGCGGAGATCCTCGTGACGCCCGTGGCCGGCGAGGCAATGACTACCGCCAGCGTAGCCCGCCAGGCAGGAGACGTCGCACTCCCACTCCCCCTCGTAAGGACCCTTCACTTCCTCCACCCGGACCGAAGCTGGTCGAGTGGGACTATTCCATCGGTCAAGGAAATATCAAAGTGTTGAGCCGGACCCTTTTTGTTGGCGGCGTAACGTACGTTTTTTCATTCATGCAAAGGACTCTTTCCCGTATCTTCATAGACTAACGGAGAAACAGTTCCTCGGAAGCTCATCTGCGCACTCTGTTCAACAAATATGGTGTTGTTCAGACGTGCATCGTCAATATTGACAAGCGCCACGCATTCATCAAGATGATTAGCCGTAGAGACGCTGTGAATGCCCGGGAGGGTATGGAGACTTACAAGTCGGGTGATATGCAGCTCAGAGTTCGTATCCCCTCTCTTTGCTCCTTTCTTTTTTTCCAAATGGAGTTTTCATGCTGATTAAAAATACAGACTCGATGGGGTGTCGGCTTTGGTCCTCGTGACTGCAGTGACTACCAGACGGGTATCAGTGTGATCCCGATCGAGAGACTCACGGAAGCAGACAAGAAATGGTTGCTCACCGCAGAGTATGGTGGAACGGGTGGAAGACCCATCGAATCTGGCATGGTCGTCGAGGAGCCCGATATTGAAATCGGTGCCGGAGTTTCGTCGAAAGGTTTGTTTTGGTCACTAATAAATGAAATTATTATGCAGTCACACTAACGGTTTTCTTTCTTTGATTAGCGATCAGCAGACGCATGGCGACTGATCAGGGTGGAAAGCGTGGTCCTCAATCTTCTCGGGCCCAGCACGAGCGTTTCCGTCGTCAGGAGCGCGGTTCGGACAGCAATAGCGGCGGCGCTAATAGTGGTGCAGGAGGCTCTGGAGGCAATAATACTGACCGCGATTCCTCGAATGCGAACAATCCTGCCGTGCCGCCAGCTGTCCCTGGTTTTGGCTTCTCTTTCCCCGGAATGCCTATGTTCCCTCCTGGTTTCATGATGGGAGGAACTCAGGCCGGGTCCACCAGCACGACGCAAGCTCAGCCACCTCCCCCTGGTCAAAGCAGCAGCAGCAGCTAAGTGGGTCATCGAGATCAGAGTCAAAACCTGCGATTTTCGAAATGGTGACTTCTCGGCAGTTTTCACACGATCCCAAGGTTGTTGTGAAGAAAGTCACGAGCATAAATCCGCTATCCTCATACACCTTTTTTTATTCGGTTCTTGTTTTCATATGGAAATCTTTCTTCTCTTCAATCTCTGTACAGGATTGGTCTTCTTTATCCACAGGTTACTTTTTGTTTTTCCATTTTCACCTCGTGCGGGCTTGGCGTTTGATCTTTCTGCTGCTGCTCTGTGCTGCGTTTGGTAAACTCATTCACACCGTTCAGGATACCACTAATTGATTGTCTAATTGAATCTGGTGTGGGAGGAGAAAAGCAAAAGGGATTATGCGCTAGGAGCAGGGGTGGATGGAATGGTGCATGGCATGGTTTTTTCTTTTCTTTTTTTTTTCCACTTTTTTTGCCTTTTTTTTTCTTCAACCTGGCTATGGACCATGTGTATTAGGTAGTGGGTCTCAAACAGCAAAACGTGGCGAACTACTGTTGTTTTTCTTTTTCTCCTTTACTTTGGGCTCTGCATCCGGTTCAGGGCTCCGGCTTACTTACGACATGCGTGAAAGGAAGGAAGAGACGGACAAGTTGGAAACGAAAAGGGAGTCAGGAAGGCTGTTTGATTGATTTTTCTGATATGCTTTTCTATGAACAGTCTTGTCCTAATCTGGGCCCTTGCTTGCTCATTAATCTTTGCCTGTTGATCTTGTCAGTTTTTCTCAGTTCATTTTCACGTTATCAATACGCAGTGTACCGATTGTTCTAAATATCCTAGCAAACGATGTTTTCTTTTTTTTTCCCCTTCTTCTTTCCTTTTTCCTTTTGTTGCTTTTTGGTTTGATTTTATTAATTAGCAGTCGAACTATAATATTAACACACTACGTTTATTCTTGCATGTACCTCGTAGGCTGTAGCTTCTCTGTACAGAGTATGGAGCACAGGAAGAATCCTATTTAGCCCTGTCTTTCACCATTTCTGTTTTGGGGCATACAATGACACCACTTTTTGGTTCACAGGACAAGCATGTGAGCTACTACGTAGGATGCCAAGATTAGTAGTAGTAGCGTTTACCCAGCTGGGTAACTTAATCATGGCTGAGCCCTACTAATCCAAGGGACCCTGAATTCCATAAACAGACCAAGACAAGTACTTCAAGATGGGGTTATACTAATTGAGTAACAGTTCTGGACAAGTGATCTATTGATATGTATTCTCAATACAATTCCGACGAAGCGGGAAAATAGAAGATACCGATGTATAGTCTTTAAACTCTGGGAAGAACAGAATTCCTAACTATGTTAAGTTTAATTCAGTATATGGATAGTAACCTGGAAGTGTTGTTTCAGAAATCTGGTTAGCTGTTGCTGTTGTTGTGATCAATCAGATTGGGGCGCTTCTTCCACTTTTTATCCCCCCAAGTATCACCATGCTACTATAGACCCTGGGGGAGAAATGTAGTGGACTATATTTATTTATTGGAAGGATCAACAAACAGCATCAAAAGCCATAGTATGTAATAGGATAAATTCAATATGCTTTAATAAATTAGACGAAAATTTCCAGAGATGATACTGCTGCATATGTAGGAAACAAAGTTCTCTTTCTAGATAGACGAACAACCATCTTAATGATATTTTCATAAATTACTCGTCAAGTTCATTAATCAAAAAGAAAAAAAAAAGAAGAGCAGGTTGTAAGCAGCAGTCACAGAGTGCAATATTTGCGCAATATTTGCGATGTTTCAGAGTCTTTTTTGTTCACACAATATTAGGAATCGCCAGTCAGGATTAGCGGCTAAGGTAACTGCAAACTCACAGGGTTGCTCTAGAAGTAGAATCGCAATATTTTCATCAAATATCTGACTGGAGACAAAATGTCGAGGGTTGAGTTTGTTATTGTCATGGGACCGCGAGACAGCGTAAAGATCCTGGGGCACGTAGTCGAATTCGACGCCCCCAAAGGAGAATCCAGGATTGTAATATTTTGGTGCTGGACCACACTGGCAACACCTGTCTGGAGACCAAATCGCGTCCCTATTTGCTACGCAAGAACCAGCGACTAGGCTGCATTATGCAGAATGGCTATTATGATGCTGTCCGCTGAATCTGGAACTACAACGGCTTTGTTCTGACAGATAGCAAATTCAATATCATTCCGTCAAGAAGTCCTCTTTAGAGATGCGGTTGGCATAGGAGGAAAGTTCATGTGCTGTACCAAGCTCCTAGAGTTGAATATCACCTTTTTGTAGAACGATCTGAACTAGAGTATTCTAGAATAGAATAATGACAATTCGAAGGACACTGTATTTCTGAATTAAGGCTTCAATGGCTGTCTGAGAGAGATGCCTACCGACTGGCCTGGGGATTGGAATCACCACCTCTCCTACAACCCGGTGCGGTTCCAAAAAGCTGTGTGTGTGATGAGTATCAAAATTCTAGTTATAAATACTAGTTGAAGATTTGAGTGTGGATAGACTGTTCTATATATCACATATGCCTAGTTTCTATACGGTTATAAACGAACGATATTGCAATTGAGCTTACTTCTTAAGGATAGATATAAGTTTGTCCCAGTCTCAGACCCCGGCAACTGACCCGACTGAGGAACGTTTTACTTGCCATGGCAATAGTACTCACATTTCACTTTGGACTATCTGATGGCCAGGAGAATGATTGGTTCCCCTCCAGAACGCCGGGACACGATGTTTGGCCTGTTATTTGGGCTCGGACAGCAGCCGCTAACCATTGGGGTGGGATTTGCGATCACGCCATCGCGAGAAATCTGTATTCATCTCTGGCTCCCCGCAATCGGAGAGGGGCTTCCCCTTAGGCCGGTCTGTCCCCCGGAGAGCATATATCTCTTTCGCCAGGGCATAAATGGTCCTGTATTTCTTCTCTCTTTGCCATTACTCTGGTCGAAGAGTCATTATAAGATACCCCCAATTGGCTTCTGCTTGCTGCAATTTTCTTTCTTTGGTCTTCTCCGCCTGACCTGCCCTAAACCCTATCCCTATCCGGCAGCTTATCTACCCCGCATTGATCCAGAAACCATTGTTGAGCTCTGACATTGGTCACCATGTCTTCCAACGAGTCTACGCCTCGCTTTGAGACCCTGCAGCTTCACGCTGGGTTAGTTCGGCTCTGCTGTCATGCTCCAGTCCACGTGGGCGACTGTCTCGTGATGCTAACCTGCTCTTAGTCAGGAACCTGACCCCACCACCAAGTCCCGCGCGGTCCCTATCTACGCCACTACTGTTCGTGCAATTCCGGCTTGTGTTCAATTGACCGCTCGCAATGTCGCTAATCACCTTCTTTGACTGCTGTAGTCCTTCACCTTCAATGACTCCGCTCATGGCGCGCGGCTCTTTGGTCTCAAGGAGTTCGGCAACATCTACAGCCGTATCATGAACGTACGTGATATGCTTCGTCAATCGAGATATCTTTTCCCCGGTAACTGACGGGATGAATTCGACGCTTCTAGCCTACGGTAGATGTCTTCGAAAAGCGTATTGCTGCCCTCGAAGGCGGTGTTGCCGCTGTTGCCGCTTCCTCCGGTCAGGCAGCCCAGTTCATGACCATCGCGGCCCTGGCCCATGCCGGCGATAACATTGTCGCTACGAGCAATCTGTATGGAGGTACCTACAACCAATTCAAGGTCTTCCTTGCTCGTCTGGGCGTCACGACCAAGTTCATCCAGGGCGACAAGGCCGAGGACTTCGCTGCCGCCATCGACGACCGCACCAAGGCTGTTTACGTCGAAACAATTGGCAACCCCCGATACAACGTTCCCGACTTCGAAGCCATCGCTAAAGTCGCCCACGAAAAGGGCGTACCCCTGGTGGTAGGTCCAGCATAACTCTCTCTCTAATATTATTTTGGCTGCTCTTGCTGAGATTGGGTGCTAGGTTGACAACACCTTCGGTGCTGGTGGTTTCTTTGTTCGTCCTATTGAGCACGGTGCTGATATCGTCGTCCATAGCGCCACCAAATGGATCGGTGGACACGGCACGACCATTGGTGGTGTTGTGGTTGACAGCGGCAAGTTCGACTGGGGCAAACATGCAGACCGGTTCCCTCAGTTCAATGAGCCAGCGGAAGGCTACCATGGCCTCAAGTTCTACGAGACCTTCGGACCGATTACGTTTGCCATCCGCGTCCGGGTTGAGATCCTCCGGGATCTTGGTTCCACTCTGAACCCCTTCGCAGCTCAGCAGCTCTTGCTGGGTCTGGAGACTCTGAGCTTACGCGCCGAACGTCACGCCAGCAATGCCCTTGCTCTGGCACGCTGGCTCGAGAAGAACGAGAACGTCAGCTGGGTTTCGTATCCCGGATTGGAGAGCCACCCCAGCCACGAGACCGCGAAGCGGTATTTGAAACGGGGCTTCGGTGGTGTGTTGTCCTTCGGTGTCAAGGGCGGTGGTGCTGCTGGAAGCAAGATCGTCGACGGTTTCAAGCTGATCTCGAACCTTGCCAAGTATGTTCCCTCCTCCCCCGTGGTTTTCTTGGCCGCCATTATCTAATCAGGTGACAGTGTCGGTGACTCCAAGACTCTCGCGATCCACCCCTGGTCCACTACGCACGAGCAGCTCTCTGAGCAGGAGCGTATCGACTCCGGTGTCACCGAGGATGCAATCCGCATCTCTGTCGGTACCGAGCACATCGACGACATCATTGCCGATTTCGAGCAGTCCTTCAAGGCTGCCAAGGCGCAGACGACCTTGCCTGACCGGACGTAGGAAGCTGGATTGCAGGGATCCGTTTGATTTGCAATGCTTTGTAAATATCAGCTGCGTTCAGTTTGAAGAATATAAGACTAGAATAAAGACGGAGTACCATCGATTTGTCTTCCAAACAGCAAGAAATAACGTAAAAAGAAGCACATATATCTCAAATCATAGTCATAAAGAAAGGTGCAATGTTTAGTTCGAAGATAGATCGTGCTAGCTACCACGGCGAGCGTACAAGCCAGCAGACCTTCTGATTGTTAATAGTACTGTACTATTTTTATAAAGAAGCTGGTGTGGGGCTCCTATCCCCCCACCTGCGATGATGCACTAGATATGCCCCGATATAGCTTACATGCTAGTATCTTGATAGATAGGCGGGCAGCTAGAAAGGCAAAACTATGACGGCACCAAGGTGGCTGTAGAGCTTTATTATGGGGAGTTCATGAGGGGCTTGACAGGGGGTTTTTATCTGATTGGGAGCGTGGATTTCGCACCGCATTGTGGTGGGTAAAAGATTTATTGCAGAAGATCTTCTAAGACAGCAGCATTCTCGAGTAGGCCAGCTTATTATTAACATTAACCTTGTGCGTGAGTATTGGATTACCAGTGTGTCGATCTAGCCTGCAACGGCGACCTCATCCGATGCTTTTCACTGGCCGAGTCCACCACCTGCAGACGCCCCTCGACGTCAGAGCGTCTCACGAGCTTCTTGGAATGTCCTCATTCGACCACGCCACAAAATGCCCAGTCAGGCGGGGGCGCTGCATGCATTGCCAGCACCATGCCCCAGCGACGTTTAGCTTGGAAGCCGTTCCTTTAATTTCTGTAACGAGCTCTCATCGGAGCTTTTCTTCCTTTCACTATTAACGGACGGTACATGTAATTAATATCTTCCGGCCTGATCCCATGGTCAATCTTCTCCCCAGCGCTCCTTCCGGTTATTATATTAATACCTAGATAGAATACAGAAATTCCTTCGCCCGTCCAGTCCATAGTGACTACCCGGAAGCACAGATCCTCAGTCTCAAATCCACGGCTGTTTGTGCGAATTCCTTCCTGAACCACACTATCACCTCTTTTCTTTTGAACTGGTATCCCAAAGTTGGTCTTCGTCATGGGTCTGCGTGACTCGAATTGGATGCTGTTTGTGCGTCTGGCACAGGCAGTTTTTGGCATCATCGTTCTGGGTCTGACTGCGTATGGTTTGTTCCCTGCTCGCCCTCTCAGATCCTACAACAGTCGCTCTGACAAGACACACAGTGATCAACTGGGAAAATGAGAGGTGGTGGGGTTCGGCAGACTCGGTCAATTTTATGCTTTTCAATTCCATCTGGACCCTCCTCATCGTTCTGCCGTACCTCTGCCTGGTGCCCAATTTTTTCATCCAACTCTCGAATGTGCGCGCCATCTTGGCGCTCGAGATTATCACCATGATCTTCTGGTTTTCGGGCTTTATCGCCTTGGCCGCCGCGCTGCCACCCGCTAGCGGGTGCGGATACTCCGCTTGTCAATCAGCACAAGCAGCGTCTGCCTTTGGGGCATTTGAGTGGTGAGTGATCTGCCATTATTGAGGAGCTGCAGATGATTCTGACTCCCACAGGGTGCTGTTTTCAATTACCACTGCCTTTGGTGTCCGTCTCCTCATGCGCCCTGCTCAGGCAAAGACCGCGCCTCAGGCGGCGACTCCTGCAGGTGTATAGTCTCGCTCTGAGTGCCGGTGACTCTGAAAAGGAATATTCTTTGATGGTACAGCTCAGGTGATGGTTAACGCTATGACATGATGCCATGCTTCATGAAACGTCACTGTTTTGCACTTTCTTGGGACATCGACTGTTGATGCCATTGATTCTGTACTATGCGTTGCGTTCACAATACCCCTGCTGTTAGTTGCCAATATCTCCATTTAGGCATTGTTTACAGTCCTTTTTTTTTCTGAACCATATGCCAGTTTGATGAGTGTTTTGTGTCCTGGATTAATGAGTTTTGATAGCGATAGTCCGTATAATAATATATATCCCTTGTTATACTTCATGAATCCACGCGACGAATCGAAATTCAACGAGGATCCTTAACTGAGGTCTGTGCAATTGAGTTCTTTGCTTTGAGCTCCAGCTTCCGGATTGGGCGGGCAGGTTTCCGTGAATATAGATAGAAACCACACAGCCAATAGCGATCTCTTTTCAGCACATCATCCTGGACTCATCCATGGAATAAGTCCGCAGCATAGCTGGTCATGCTGAAAAACATGACAGCAACCAATGTGTCATTCTCAATTATCTAGATCCTGTGTTCCTTGGTTTGGTGCGATTACCTGTTGCGGCCTTCAATCCACGGTTCTTGTGCTTACCCGTCGGCGTGCCCCGAACACACACAAAAACGTTCGATGCCATTGCCACCTCAACATGGGACGGTTGTAATTTCCCGAAAAGAGTTTTTTTTTTCCTCCCTCAGACCCACAAAAAAAAGAAGTTTGGTCCAGAAATGTCACTTCATGTCCAGCTGCGCAGGACCTGGCGTAACACCGAGACGGAATTTCTTGCGCGCACCGTGGATATCCGCCTTGCTGCAAAGGCAAATGGAAACTCTATCTAGATATAGATTTTTTTTTTCATAAAAAAAAAGATCACTTTGCCAGCTCCCCAAGAGAGCAATCTTGCTCCTCTTATTTTCGAACTTGTAATTTATTTTTATTTTTTCTTTTTTTTTTAACTACAAAAAAAATTAAATCACCTCCACTTGGGTGTGACCGTTGTATACAGGACGCAGTCTAAACCCAGTCTGAGATCTAATTAACCTCTTGTGCGCTCGTGTGAGTTTTTTTTTTCTCCACAAAAAGAAATGCAACTAGATAACTAGATTATTATTACATGAACCGATTATCGTTATCATTACTGGGGAGAAGAATTTGCCTGCCAATTTGACGGTAGAGCCTCTCGCATTGACATCGTCCCGTGTGGCAGTCCCCACTGAGTCAGAAGAAAACCGTGCGGGCGTCCTCTTTTCAAACGCCGCCCCCCGTCTTGTCGATTCAGCACTCCTGACAGACTGACGAGGGCTGAGGATCACTCGAAGCACGGCCTGGCATGGCTCCTCCTGACGAGGTGACAGCTGCGCCTGAGGTGGTGGGCAAAGGCGAGAAGGACGAGAAGAAGAATGCGGACGAAACGACTGTCACTCGCAGCTCGATTCATTCGAGGCAGGCGTCCGGTCAGCATGTCAATGGTGATGTCGAGAAACATGGCGCAGGCCCTGAGTCCTCGCCTCTGCCTGCTCTCAAGCGGAAGCTCAAGAGCAGGCATTTGCAGATGATTGCAATCGGTCAGTCAATGAACCTTCTCGCTTGCATCGCAGGGTGATTGCTCATATATCTTTAATAAAAAGGTGGCACCATCGGAACTGGTCTCTTCATCGGTAGCGGAGGTGCTATTTCCAAGGCAGGGCCGGCCGGGGCGCTTATTGCATATCTCTTCGTGGGGACGATTGTCTACTCGGTCATGACCTCCCTGGGCGAAATCGCGACATATATCCCGATCCCCGGAGCCTTCACCTCGTACGCGACGCGACTGATCGATCCCAGCCTGGGTTTTGCCATGGGCTGGATCTACTGGTTCTCGTGGGCGATCACTTTCGCCCTGGAGTTGACAGCCACGGGATTGATCATCCAATACTGGGACCAGACCATCTCGATCGGTATCTTCATCGCCGTCTTCTGGGTCTTAATCACAGTTATCAACTTCTTTCCCGTCAATTTCTACGGTGAGATGGAGTTTTGGTTCTCCAGCATCAAGGTCATCACCGTCATCGGATTCATGATCTTCGGCATCTGCATCGATGCCGGAGCTGGCCAGCACGGGTATCTTGGATTCCACACCTGGAAGGATCCCGGGGCATTCGCTCCCTACCTACTTGATTCCGATGGTGCCACGGCCAAGTTTGTCGGATTCTGGGCGGTCCTGATCCAGGCAGGATTCTCCTACCAGGGCACCGAGCTGGTTGGTATTGCTGCCGGTGAGACGGAGAACCCTCGCAAGACGGTACCTTCGGCCATCCGCAAAACTTTCTACCGCATTCTTATCTTCTTCGTCCTGACCGTCTTCTTCATTGGCCTGTTGGTGCCCTATACGAACCAGGACCTGCTGTCGAACGCCACCAACGCGTCTGCATCACCCTTCGTCATCGCCGCCAATCTTGCCGGTGTCAAGGTCCTGCCGCATATCATCAACGCGGTCTTGCTGACGGTGGTCCTTTCCGCCGCCAACTCGAATGTCTACAGTGCGAGCCGGATTCTGATCGGTCTCGCTCAGGAGGGATTCGCGCCCCGGATCCTGAAACGCACGTCCAAGGGGGGCGTACCGTACTATGGGGTCGCGGTGACGTCTGCATTCGGCCTGCTGGGCTTTCTGAACTTGTCGAACGGCGGCGGCACCGTGTTCAACTGGCTGGTCAACATCTCGGGGGTGGCGGGGTTCATCAGCTGGTCGTCCCTGAATGCATGTCACATCGCCTTCATGCGGGCCCTGGCGGCGCGCAACATCTCTCGGGACCTGCTCCCTTACAAGGCGATGTGGCAGCCGTACTTCGCCTGGTACGGGCTGTTCTTCAACGTCTTGATCATCCTGACCCAGGGCTTTACGGCGTGGATCCCCAGCTTCAGCGTGACGGACTTTTTCGTCAGCTACGTCAGCCTGATCCTCTTCGTGGTGCTGTACCTCGGGCACAAGCTCGTCTTCCGGACCCGGTTTGTGCGTTCGATCGAGGCGGATCTGGACACGGGGCGCGTCGAGGTCGACAACGAGGTCTGGGAGACCAAGGAGCCGACGACTCTGTGGGGAAAGGTGCGAGCTTTCCTGCTCAGCTAGGAGTCTCGCATCTTTCTTGTTCTTTCTCTAAATGTGCTCCGATTATAGAATAGTCCTTGTTGTTGCGTACTATACATGTCCTTGATGAGGTCTGCTCTTTGCATGTATGTACAGTATGATAATGGGTAATGATATAATAGAGATAATAACTCTTCTCCTGTCTCCCTGGTTTGTTGTAACAGAAATAAGAGTCAGTTGATTACGTCATTTCATGCGTGTCATTGCAGGGGTAAGAAAAGATCTTATTGCGGGGATATATATGGACTCAATCTTCTACTCCGTACTCTGTCTGCAGATTGCCTAACTTCTCTGGGGATTTCCCTACCACCAGCCCAAGTTTTCCACAATAATCCAGTGTTATTATGGGAGATCTGGCAGGTTAAGATTTCTCCTGGAGAATGACTATCGGCCGGCGGGGATGAGATGTCCATACAGACACCATGACCACCCGCTAAGGCAATAATACATCGGATCTGTAGGGCTGGCTTCCCGCTCTTTCACATGTCTCTAAGTCTGGCTTCAATGGTGGTGGGGAAGGCTCAGCGTATGGAGTACTGCGTGGAGGTGGGCATGACTGCATGTGCATGGCACTGTGGCACTGCAGCGTCAGACGACCGTAGTAACGTAATCAATCATCGAGCGAAACAGATCACCGAGCGAAACACCCCACCAAACTACGCGACGCGCTCATCAACTTCAACCACCAAAATGCCACGCAAAACAGCAGATTCAGCAGTTCATCAAGAGGGCCGTATCTTGCTTGCAATTAAAGCTTTCAATGATGGTCAATTTAAAAGCATACAGGCTGCTGCACAGGCATATAATGTGCCACATCCAACACTCTACCACCGCCTACGCGGGCGTACTGCACGCGTAGATGCAACACCAAACAGCAAAAAGCTCACTACCACTGAAGAATCTATGCTTGTCAAATGGATATTATCTATGGACCAACGGGGACTACCACCATGAATCACCATTGTACGAGATATGGCCAGTCTATTACTATCTAGCCGGTTAAATGCACCAGCTACTGTTGGCCAGTGTTGGGTCCGAAGATTTATCAATCGCCACCATGAGCTCAAATCCAAATATAGCCGCAGATATGATCATCAACGGGCTCTATGTGAGGATCCAAAGCTTATTAAAGAGTGGTTTCAGCGTGTTCTTGAGGCTGTACAAAAATATGGCATTACTAAACAGGATATCTACAACTTTGATGAGACTGGCTTTTCAATGGGCATGATATCAACAGCAAAGGTTGTTACTGGCTCTGAATCTAGGGGCCGGCCTAAAGCAATACAACCAGGGAATCGAGAATGGGTGACTGTGATTGAGGCAATCAATGCAGCTGGCTGGGCCCTGCCCCCAATGATCATCTTTGCTGGCAAGAATCACCAATCTAATTGGTATCCAGATCTACCAAAGGGCTGGGCAATTGGGACTAGCAATAATGGATGGACCACTGATGAGCTAGGGATGCTTTGGCTAAGAAATGTCTTTGATAAGCATACCAAAGCTTGTACAGCAGGCAAATATCGCCTGCTAATTCTTGATGGCCATAGCAGCCATATATCTGCTGAATTTGATCAATTCTGCACTGAGAACATGATCATTCCTCTATATTTACCACCACATTCTTCACATCTATTACAACCACTTGATGTTGCCTGCTTTGGGCCATTAAAACATGCATATGGGCAGCAAATCCAGATCTATATGCAGCACGACATCAATCATATTGACAAGGAGGATTTCATCACTATCTACCAGCAAGTACGCCCGCGAGCTCTGACTGCATCTAATATATGCAGTGGATTTGCTGCATCAGGCCTGGTTCCATATAAGCCAGAGCAGGTGCTTGACCAACTTCATATTCAATTGAAAACACCTACACCACCAGGCACATCCCATAGCAATCAGTTATCTAGCTGGACTGCTGAGACACCAAAGAATGCTAGGGAGCTAGAGAAGCAGTCAGAGCTAATCAAGCGTCTTTGGCGGCAGCATACGCGGAGTCCTCCCAGTCCAATTAGTCAAGCAGTTGATCAAGTGGTCAAGGGCTGCCAAATCGCGATGAATAATGCAGTGCTTTTAGAGCATGAAATCAAGCAGCTACGTGTGGCCAATCAACGTCAAAAACGCCAGCAAGAGACAGCTAGATCCTATATTGCTACCGGGGGGATTTTAACTGCTGAAGAAGGCCAGCAGCTTGCTCAGCAAGCTGCAGAATTGCAGGCAGAGGTAGCTGACCAAGCTGATATGCAGCCTAGAAGACGTGCACCACCGCGGTGCAGCAACTGCAATATTCAAGGTCGTACTAGGGTCAGCTGCCCTAGTAAATAGGCAATTATTTTACATGTAAATAGCTTCAATTTAGGGGTGGTGTGGTGAGATAATTAGATATCTAATAATAATGGCGTTGGTGGGTGTTTCGCTCGGTGATCTGTTTCGCTCGGTGATTGATTACGTTACTGGTAACAAAAATCCATACGGCATAGCAGTGAATACCGAGTACTCCGTAATATTTATGCCGGGTTATGCTTGCCGTGCACGTGCACTCTTCCCGTCAGCCTGGGAGGCTAGTTGGCGGTCTCTCTGGGATCCTGGCAACACCGGGATTCGCTATCTAACGCTCACAAGAGCATCATCAATCAGCATTTCGAACAGACCTCGGGAGTCGGTCTGCGGGTCGTATCTTCATCCATAGGTGGGTAGAACCGTCCGTTCCAAGACGCAAGGAGCCTAGGCTGAGTCCCGAGGTTTGACCTCAGTCAGCAAATAATAATACCTCTAATTTCTTGTCCTTCTCTAAAATCAACACTTCTCACAGCTGATGACGGCATCTAATTAACTGCTATCCGACCGGGCGGAGGAGATGCCCAACAGCGCAGCATCACCGGCCAAGTCCGCTCCTCCTAACCCTCCCAAGACACACCTCCGGCCTCGCCGACGGCGCCATTCCCAGTTTGTCTCCACCGGCTCCTTCCATCTGCACGATCTCTCAGGCGTAATTCTTGCACTGGGCCGTCTCTAATCGTACATGCGCATATGAGAAACTGAAAGATATCAAGCAAATCATGATGCAGTCCCTGACAGATGCATCTGCGCGTGTGTGAGTCTGCGCTCGCGGTGCCTGAGGAAAGAGATCGGGACGGACCCGACGGGGCGGACCAGCGTGACATGAACCCTGGCCAATGGGAACGCTGCAGAACGCCCTCCCGGTGGAGCGGGATCTCCCGTGATCAGATCAGGAAGGAGCCGAGGCATCGTGTCAACGGCCGTGCCTTCCTGTCTTGCCGCTCTTGCGTCGAGTCGCGGTTAAGCTGCTGTCAAATCCAGTATAATTAACACCATGGCAACCCCCAGCAGTACTGGAATGCTTCGCCCAGCTCCGTCTCTGGAGCACATGCTGATTGCTGGTGCCTCTTACATAATTCAGATTGTTGTTTTACTTCGATAGATTTATATTATTAGCGACCTCGTCATATCTCACTTGGCAGTCACCGCCCCATTGATCGCTTCTTTACCTCCCATTTCGGTACGTCACATGCCTGACTGGTCCCGCTCAGAGTTATTCGGAATACTCCACCTACACGAGGAATACAACAAGAAACAGAGAAGAAATTACAAATCTGGTGCCCTGCTAATTGCTTCGGTGTAGGTGGTTGAGAGTCATTCCATAATCCACAATGCTCTTCAGTCAACCAACCTATATCACCCGCGCAGATGAGCTGCGGTCACCTCCTCCTAAGGGCACGCCCTACTCGGTGGCCCTGCCTGGGAGCGAGAAGCCGGGCCGGAGCAAAGTGTACCGGGCGTGGAATATGCAGAAGGAGCTTCTGACGACGCTCGATCCTCAGGTATGAACGAGAGGCTCCAATACCTTTAGTTGCAAAGCTGGACTTTTAGTCTGTGAGGGATGTTGGCAATTACTGACGACGCTACCTGAACAGATTCTTACCGCACATGATATGTTCGAGGCTTCTGGTAAATTTACAAAGCCACCTGGATTAGCAATCCCGCACTCGACTGACAGGAGGGCTATTCAGCCAGCAGATCGCCCAAGAGCCCGTGCCTCGGATGGCGTCCGTACGACCCCAAGACGAAGAAGTTTGGTCCCTATCAATGGCTCGACTACCAGACCGTCCAGAAACGGCGAGCGAACTTTGGTGTTGGTCTCGTGGAGGTGCACAACAAGCATGGATGTGGTGGGCAGAAGTATGGGGTGGGCCTGTGGTGTCAGAACAGACCCGAATGGCAGATCACCGGTATGTGAGCAGCAGGATTCGAAGATGCTCTCGGAGCTTTTTCGAGATTCTCCTGCATTCCTGCTCTCTCCTACTGACAGCTGTACTATTCAGACTTGGCGTGCATGTCGCAGTCTCTATTCTCCGTATCGATCTATGACGTCTTGGGCCCGGACGCAGTTGAATATATCATCAACCACGCTGAGCTCCGCTGTGTCGTGACGTCGCTTCCCCATATTCCCACGTTGCTTAAGCTCAAGCCCAAACTCCCCAACCTAAAGATCATCATCAGCCTGGATCCGATCGATGCGGGAGAACAACCTGGCTTATCGAAACGTGCGCTCCTGGAGTCGATGGCGGCGGGTCTGGATGTCGTCTTCTACACCATCGATGAAGTGGAGGCGATGGGTGCCGCTCTCAACCGTCCCTACAACCCGCCTTCCCCCGAGGATATCTTGACCATCAACTATACATCTGGTACCACGGGCCCACCCAAAGGCGTCGTTCTCACCCACAAGAATGCGGTGGCCGCCACGTCCTGCAGCATGATTATCAACAAACACTACCCTGGCGATGTTATAGCTTCCTATCTCCCTCTTGCGCACATCTATGAACGCCTGGCAGAGCATGTGAGTCTGTGGTCCGGTGGAGGGATCGGATATTTCCACGGGAATACCCTCGAGCTCGTCGATGACTTGAAGCTGCTGCGCCCAACGGTATTTGCGTCTGTTCCCCGTCTCTACGCTCGGTTCGGTGGTGCGATCCGCGGCGCAACGGTCGAGGCCCCCGGCTTCCGAGGCGCTCTGTCACGGCATATCGTCAGCATGAAGACGGCAAATTTGAAAAACCCGGACCTCAGCAAGGCCACCGCGAAACATGCTTTGTATGACCAAGTCTGGGGGAAGAAGGTGGCCAGTGCCCTGGGTTTGGAGCGGGCCCGGATGCTTGTCTCGGGCTCTGCGCCGTTGGACCCAACCCTGCATGACTTCCTGAGATGCGTTTTGGGAAAGGACTTCATTCAGGGATACGGTTTGACCGAATCGTATGCTATGGCGACCGTGCAGCACGCGGCTGATCTCTCATCCGGAAACTGCGGCGGTATTGCGCCCGCACTTGAAGCGTGTCTGGAGTCTATCCCAGAGATGGAATACTCCGTTGACGACAAGCCCTACCCACGCGGGGAGCTGCTGCTTCGCGGCAACACCATTTTCCGAGAATATTACAAGAATCCCGAAGAGACGGCCAAGGCGATGACTGAAGACGGCTGGTTCCGAACCGGCGACGTGTGTACCATCGACGAGTTGGGTCGCTTCAAGATCATTGACCGTCGGAAGAATGTCCTGAAGCTCGCTCAGGGAGAATACATCTCGCCAGAGCGTCTGGAAGGCATCTTTCTGGCTGAGCATACGTATTTGGCCCAGGCGTACGTTCACGGCGACAGCCTTCAGACCTCTCTGGTCGCCATTTTCGGTGTTCAGCCCGACGCCTTTGCTGCCTTTGCGAGCAAAGTTCTGCAGAGGACCATCGAACCATCAGACACGCAGGCGATCAAGGCGGCTCTCCAGGAGGACAAGATCCGGAAGGCCGTGCTGAGGGATCTTGACCGGACGGCAAGGAAGCACAAGCTGGCAGGGTACGAGAGGGTCAAGAATGTGGCTCTGATGCTCGAGCCGTTTTCTATTGAAAACAATCTCCTGACACCGACGTAAGTTTTTTGCTTTCTTCATCTGGTAGGATTTGACTTGCTAATTCTCCATAGGTTGAAATTGAAGCGTCCCCCGACGGCGAAGAAATACCGTCCTGTGCTGGACGCCCTGTACAGTCAACTTGCTGCCGAAGAATCGGCTCCGAAGGCCAAGCTCTGATAGAAACCGCGTTTATTGTTAGGGTCACATTTGCTTCCCTGTATTTGTTTGCCTGTGTACACATTTTACCTGTTTCTTTAATATAATTTTTTTTCTTCTTTTTTCCATTTTTCTCTGCCTGTCTGCATGGAGAGCGATTGCATATAGAGGCATCTTCTTTTCTGTCTTAGCATAGACATTGGTAAGATTTCTTCGATATACACTATAGCAGCACTATATCGGACGAATAGACAGATACATGAAATGAACGCATTTGAAAAGGGGTTATGATTAGCTTGCACTGTGGGCAGTAGTGTTTTGAAATTGGGTGACGAGCAGAGAATATTTACTAATAGCTAGGTACAGCCAGGCATTTATTTTTAGGCTCGTTGTCTCCAGTGTCTTAACGGCGAGCTGTGTGATATTGGCCTGACTATATATGATGTATCACGGAAGCATAAAATGCTGACGACCATTAGGTTGGAGATTGGCAACCTTGAAAATAGGAAAATGATTTACCAGTGAGCTACGATAGAGTTAGATATCTCGCAGCAGATGTAATTATAATTTCTCGGACGACATGACGGTACATAATTCTTTTGTTGAATCGCGTTGATGTTGCTGTTGTATTGTATGTTGTCAGCTTAGCGCTTCCGCAGCCCGACGACATCCTGTCCGCCTACGGCTTCCTCTCTCCGCAGGAGTTTTGTCCCACTCTTGAACGACTCGTCAATTGACTGAATTGATTGCGTCTTCCCCCGATGGCGGCCTCCCTTCTCTATTTCTGCGCAGCTTTGTCTGCGCTCCTTCTTCCCACCGCCTCCGCCGCTTCTCTGACCATCACCATCCCGCCATCGAACATCCTCCCGAACCCCCATGTGCTTCCGCCCACGACGCACGCGACGTTGACGACGCTGCCGTCGTCGTCGTCACAGAAGAAACATGTCCTCACCGCCCCGCTGACGCGTTCGTCGACGTTTGTTTTCCCAGATCTGGACCTGAACGGTTCCTCCCAGAACCAGCAGCAAAGAGAGTCCTATCTCCTCGACATCCGATCCCGCGAGTACGTCTTTGCGCCGTACCGGGTCGACGTCGGTGCCGAAGGCACCATTCTCGGCGTCTGGGAGACCTTCCGCGGCAACCCGTGGGATAATCGTGGAGCGGAGAAGTTTGTCGCTGCTCAAGCAACTGGCCGCACCAGCGGTCAGAATCAGGACGTGGTCGTGGAGGCCAAAGTTGTTGCTCGAAGGGGATTTTACGAGGAGAGACCCAGATGTGAGTATATATACATTGAGTTCCGAACGGGGGAAAAAGACAATTGAATTGGGGATACTAATAGTATATGACTGTCTAGTCTCCCCTCTCAGCCTCTTTAAAAACCCGATGATCCTGCTCGCCGTGTTCGCTCTCGCAGTCACGTTCGGAATGCCCAAGCTTTTGGAGAACAGTACGTCTATCTTGGCCTACACTACACTCTTCTATACATTATACACATACACACATCTATATGTGTATGTGTCTTTTACCTTCTTTGTATTTGCTAACTCTTTGTCCTCTTTCTCCAGTGGACCCGGAAATGCGCGCCGAATTCGAAAAGCAATCCCGTGCCGGACCCTTGTCTGGTGCCAGTCGTTCTGCCCTCGCAGCCGGTGCTGGTCCCGGAGGCGCTGCGGGCGGGTTCGACCTCGCAGGATGGATGGCCGGGGCCACTTCCGGTCCTGGTAGTTCTTCTTCTTCTTCTGCTACTTCTGGCGACACTTCAGGGGTAACGACTGGACGAGAGAGTTCATCATCTGCGGGGAGAAGAAGAGGATAGATAGATAGGACAAACAGCCTCTGAGGAAGGATTGCTTTTCTTGTCTTCTCTCTCTTATTTACAAGATAGAGATATTAGGCTTGGTTTGATTTGATTTGAGGGCTCTTCAATGAATCAAAGATGCCTACTATTCTACGTTATACTATATTGTAGACCCATAGATATAGATGTATTATTGATCTTTGTTCATCCACCTCCAAGTCATTTAAGTTGAATTTCTCGAAGAAATGGAGTATAATAGAGGGGGGGAGATTACTTAAAGTAAGAATATGTATAAAAGAAAAGTACAGTCGTAACCTAACAGCTAGTCTGGCCGGCCATGCATGCATTTCATATCTCATTCTTCGGAAACTTGACAACTTTCAAAGGCGCACAGAAAAAAGAAAATAAAAGCGATTCACGATTTGTCTGGTCATCAATATCATGCTTGTCATTCCATTCCATTCCATTCATGAGGTTGATGAACATGAGCAAATCGATCAATCAATGCATATCGATCCGCAAAGACGCCAATTTCAAAACTCCGGACATACATACACACTCGAAAGAAAAGACAAAAAAAAAGAAAAGTAGCTAGACTCATATGAAGAGAGGAGCCGGCAGATTAGAAATCCCCACCAAAGTCGTCACCATCCGCAAACCCATCCTGGTATCCCTGCTCATACTCATACTGGTCATGGTCTTCAATGGCGTTCTCGATCAGAGCCCCCGCAAGCAACCCGCCGCCGACACCCAGAGCGGCCGCGCCGGCGGTCCCCAACCCCCCATGCTTCCTAGGCGGCGCACTTTGTTGAGGCGGATAGCCATAACCCTGCGGGGGAGGATAATACCCGCCCTGCGGAGGGGGGTATCCA